TTAGGGTACATCAAAAAAAATACGCAGGTCAAAGTCAAATTTTGTCATGGTTCGATGATTTTTGGCAGAGTTATGCCCCTTTAACTTTGAAAAAAAAGGAAATTTTCAGTTCCCATTCATTATCTCCCCCAACAGTTGTACAAATTCAACTCAAATTAAAGATATGGATATGTCATAAGAATACGATGGTCAATTTTCAATTTGGTAATGGTTTGATGCTAGCGGACAGAGTTATCCCTCTTGAACTTTGAAAAAAAAGTCAGAAATTTAAGTTTCCGTTCATTATCTCCCCAATGGTTGTACACATTCAACTCAAATTTTACATATAGATACATCTTAGGAATAAGAAATTCAAGTTTAAATGTGGTCGTGGTTCAATGATTTTGGACAAAGTTTCTCCCTTGAATGTTGGAAAAATTAAGAATTTCCAGTTTCAGAACTCATATTTTTGTGGAAATGTATGTAGCCATTAATTTGGCTAGAAATATGCAATATGCAATTTACAAAAGGTTAACACTGAATAGTTTCAGTGCCTTGAACTTTGCTTAAAAATGGTTAGTGTTAACATTGAATAGTTTTAAGGGCTTTAAACTTACATCAACAAATTTGTCTTTAAGTGTAAGATAATTAACTATTACATGGAACATGCTGCTTTAGCTTTAGACCGTTCCTGTAGTGAGTTCAGAGCAAACATTATCTGCGTTGTTCAGACTTACGTTACTTAATATTTTTCTAATCTGGATGGGGTTTTCGCATATAAGATATTTTGACTGGGGCGGGGTAGCATTCACTTTTTACTGTTAAATGTCAAAAGGTGACATTCTAGATACTTGGCCTATAAAAATATTGTCCAGATGTTTTGTATGCGGTTTATCAAAGTACAATTCTTTTTTGTTATTTTCTTGATTGTGCATGTCAGTAGGTTTTGGTTTTTGTTTTGTGTGTGTGTGTGTGTTTTGTTTTTTGTTTGTTTTTTGCATGGGTTGCGTGAGATGGTTGGACTTATTTATTTTATTTCTTTATTATTTATTTATTTATTTTATTTATTTATTTATTTATTTATTTATTTCTTCTAAGAAAATACTGGGATTAAAAAGGTTGAATAACGGCGGTCGTTCAGACTGTGCGCATAATGTGCTAGCTATCTTGGCTATATACAGGTGGCAATTGATCAATTTCAGCAAATAAATTTTAATCATTTATTAAAGAGCATGATTAACACTTTGATGAATACAATCAACTCAACTATTTCGTCTAGAAAATTGTGTTTGCTCTTTGAATGAAGTAGCCATCTCAAGGTGTGCTGCAAAATAACAAACAAAAAGCTACCGATGCATAAAACACTTGAACAGTATAATGAACAATACAAACATGAAATGTAAAAACGAATTCCTATATTTTTGATACCTCAAATTGCAAAATACTACATATATATCATTAACGGGACGCATTTAAAAGCTACACATATATTCTATGCGGAACAATAGTAAAATCCTTTATGTAGGAAATATATACTTAAATAGAATGATATACTGTATTCCTAGAAATTATCTGATATAAGAAATATGTATGCTTTGTACCCCCTGCGACTGAATATTCGCGAAATTTGCGGTCACTATGATTGCGCGAAAGTTTATGTCCGCATAAACACCATCCTTATGGAAAAGCGAAATATTGTTTCCGCTAAAGTTTCTAAGAATTCAGTATCAATGATGGAAAAATGAGGTATACCTTTCTGGCTTACAACACCAGCATTCCCCACATCTTGGATACTCTTCATTTTTTCCTTGTGTAAACGTATAGCCTAAGATATCTTCGCACAGTTTCCTTTGATCCTCTATTGTACCAGGTTGGGGTATCGCTGCGGTGTCTTCTTCAGTCCAGTGGTGACATACCAAATCTGTAATTTAGTGATTATTCCGGAAATAATTAAAGAAATGCATGACAAGTTAAAATTGAAGACTTTTTGCATGTCTGAAAAAATTATAATGGACAATAAGAGAAGTAACATCAATGACAACTCAATAAATATTACTTAAAAAATTAAATAAAGATCAACAAGGCAAATCCAACGTTCACAGGACGCAAGCACCGACATGTCCAAGCCACAACAGCTGCGCACCCAGACGGCACCAAACCAGGATCAGGATTGGAAAAAAGGGCGGCATAAGAAGGGGAGAGATATCATGAATTAAAACAATACCAAACAAAAGTGGCCAAAATGGGAATTAAAGGGACATGGAATGCAAGCGCTAAAAGGTGGGAGAGAAAAAAGGGGTGGCAAGAAAATACTCACCGTAAACGACAAATAAAGAAACCCATCGATTCTTCAGATAGATCATTTGGTTGTTAAAATTTTAAAGAAATGAATGTAGTTTAGTCAGTCAAATATTACTTAAATAACTACCTACGTCAAAAAGCCATTTTTAATCAATATACCTTTTGGTTTACAACACCAGCATTCCCCACATCCTGGATACTCTTCATTTTTTCCTTGTGTAAACGTATAGCCTAAGATATCTTCGCACAGTTTCCTTTGATCCTCTATTGTACCAGGTTGGGGTATCGCTGCGGTGTCTTCTTCAGTCCAGTGGTGACATACCAAATCTGTAATTTAGTGATTATTCCGGAAATAATTAAAGAAATGCATGACAAGTTAAATTGAAGACTTTTTGCATGTCTGACAAATTATGATGGACAATAAGAGAAGTAACATCAATGACAACTCTATAAATATTACTTAAAAAATTCATTTCCTTAGATAAACAAATTTTGTTAAAAACATATGGTTATTAACGACATTCTAATTAAAGTATGTACGCCTGACAAAAAAGCTCAATATTATAGCATTTAAAGTGTTTCATTTATCTGATTTAATTATTATGCTAATTATGATAATTACCAGCACTACCAGCCTTAGAGGAATCCACCAACAAAACGGCTAGGGTAATAGTGAGTAAAACCAGGCGCATCATTATGCAATATCTGACCTATAAATTAATAAAATGAATTACAATCATCGCATTGTAGAAGAGATTGGTAAACGTGTATTTCAGAGGCATGACTATTTAGTGGGTAAAATAAAACAAATACATTTCTGAAATAATTTATTTACTTCATTTGAAATGTCAATGTGTTTAAATTGCGTTTTAAAAATAGCTTTAGAGCATTTATGATGGATGTTAAACAACTGAAGAAAGTAGCGCTGAATCTGCATTTTTGTGTCTTTCTTTAATGTAGCAAAGTAATATAATTACTTTCATGTGTAAAATACTAAATTACTATAATTTTACAAATTTCCAGATAGCATAAGAAGGAAGAGATGGTTCATCTATATCGCCAAACAGTACATTTTTGGAATCTGTAACAAGATATCCACATGAAAAGTTTTTGAAACGTAAGAATAACATTTATTTCGGGAATTGATGAGCCTTAACTTGAGTACATGAACTTATATCATTACTGTCATCACAGGAACTTGAAAAAGTATCAATGATAACTCTGATGTCCGATTTTCATTGAAGAACCTCATCCCTATATGGTAAAATATATATTTAGGAATGGAAAAGTTTATGGACAAACGTGCTTTCATAGACCTGGCCGGTTTTAGATATCTTAATTCAATTGCGTATCTAGTAATACACTACTACGCACGGGCATATGAAAATAACAGTGAAATAAAATTAAAAAAAAAAATTAAAACAAATATTTAGACGTAGGTCGATAAACAGTTGAATAGCTGCTAATAGATTCTTTAGGAATGCTTAGGATGTTCCCTTATTCTATTTTGATAATGTGTATACACAATCAATCAAAATCTATGAAAGAAGGGAGTAAGCAAATTTGATCAAATCAATTACATGTACATTGCTTGGGTATATCAACGGGAAGCCATTTTTCTTTCAGCTTCTTCCGATGTTATAATATTCATAAACCTCGTTAAAATCCAAATAATAATAAAGGAAATGTCCTAAAATCTATATCATTATATAATAAAATGTACAGTATTTTTGCGAATGTCTCAACTCACTTCTTAGCAAACACTCAGTTGCAAACTTTACGTACTTAGATCATTTCAGTTCTATTATTATCATCATTATCCTTTTAATTGTTTAGCACTTTGCAATAAATGCAGTTATACTGATTTAGTATTTTGTATATCAAAATACAATTGTGTTTACGTTTTGCTACTTTTATCTCAAATCAATTTACATTCACATTAATCACTTCTACAAGTGTTTAGCATTTTAAATGTTCTACATCTATTTCTACAATATTTTGAAACACATATTTGCCCCTTTTTTAAAGATCTATATCAATTTCTTAAACTATGTTTAGCTAGTCGTTGGATATCACAATATAAACTTCCACTCAATCCTTCCACTGATTAACATTGAATTCACTACACAATTTCGAAAAGAAGTAAATTCAGTTTAATAGCGTTTTGTCGAAACAAATTTTAAAACATGAAATATACAATAAATAAAAACATAGTTGTACATACCTTGTTACTTTGTATCTTTCGCTAGAATTTGGAAATATTTCCTAAAACGTTGATTTTGTATTAACACTTCCAGCTATTTATAGGGAATCAAACATTATCAGCATATGTAACCGCAGCTTTCATAAGGCTTTTATCTTCATTATGTTTCAAGAAACAAAGGGACAGTGAAACAACAGTTTGTAAAGAATGAATGTTATCACTTTCATTATCGCCATATTAAATCAAAGTTACAACATTAATGTTCTATAATGAATACGTTTCCGACGACCGCTGTATAGGTATACATATATACAAATGTTCAAAACTCAAAACGAATTTGCAATTTCCTCTTAATGATTAATAACATGTACAAGTTTTTCTGTTCAATCTTTAGCTTCCGACATGTTCATGTGTATATGTTTTGGGTTTATTTGTTGTTGTTCTTGTTGTGTGGTTATGGTTTTTTAGAGGGTGGGGATTTTTGTTTCTGTGTGTGTTTTTTTAGGTATTTAGGTCTGTTTGTGTCTTTTCAGTATTATTATGCCAATTTTAACACAATTTCTTAACATATCAACCTAAGCAGCTTTTTACAACTAGTTAGAAACTACTAATTTCTCCTCAAGCGATTGACTACTTGTCCAACAAGATTTCTAAACCAGTGACCATATGACTCAATGTCCTAGATCAATTGGCAAAGAAATTACTCTTCGACCGAGGATAAAAGCAGTGCACCCTGCATTACTTATTAATCTGATTCTCTCTCTATTGAGCTAAATGGTCATACAAAATATGTACGTATACCAAAAATATTTTTCCATTGTGATATATCAAAACGAGAGACATCTTGCAGATACCTTTCAAGTGTGTATGATTCGTAATATTTATCAGATTTGTTCCCAAAACTGACAACATGAAAATCTAAGTCGTGTGATTATTCTTTGTAATGTTAGGTATCATTTAATAAAACAATACTTTTTGGACATAAATGATTCTAGATATCATTATTTGCATTCTTTTCTATTTGTTATCCCTTAGCAATTAACGATTTTGTACGGATATAATTCATTTGATGATTCTATAGCGCGGGCTAGTGACACGTGTTCAATACACTTAGCGCCGCCTTACTGAACTGAAAGTGTGTTTCAAAATTGAACATCAAAAATTTTTCTTAAAAGGAAACTAAAATACTTTTAAATACACATATTACAAAATGAAACACTGCAAAGTTTAGCAGATATACAAGATACAAGATAAACGTTTTTACGGTGGATAATTTACAAAGAAGGTTATTTTCCGACATATTGCCGAGAAGAAAAGAAGTAACATCTACCTAAAATGACCGTTCTGTTCTAGGCTTTGGGTTAAGATAATTATGACATTTGCTTAGAAGAAGAAGTATATGAATTCCCCCACCCCCCTTAGACATTTTTAATAAAATATTTTCGGAACGCTTGTCAGTTTTCTTGTTAACCAAACAGACGTGGCATATATCATTTCATGCATCATCAATTATATCAAGTCATCTTGTAAATAATTTATATCTTCAAAGTGTAATTAGAGAAATAATTATTTAAATGTAAGGTTACCTGCTATACCGATAGAATATTTAGTGTAGACATTTTGAGTTTCATGTTGACGTCAAATGTTCTTTAATTATTATATTCAATACAATAACTGATATGATATTGTCATCTACCATAATTGATTTATTTGTGAAACACTCACCTAACGGCGTTATTCAAAACAATTGCACAAACAGGCTGGATTGACATACGGGCTAGATATTGAAACATTGAAAATCATTGTACATGACACGAATATTGTACGTAATCAGAATGAAGTGGTCAGGAACAAAATATTCTGCTGACCTTTTGTAGGTTTGACGATGATTTGACAGATGCCCAGCTGGCTGTCGAAAAATAAACTGATGAATATCATTCATTCTAGGAATACTGCAATCCTTTTTTAATCACAGAATAAACACTATTTGTATTCCTTTTTTTTCTATTTTTTTTTTATTTTATCCTGTTTTAATGTACTATTTTTTCATGTTTATTTATTTATTTTTCCTTTATTTTTTATATTTTCGTCTGTCAATAATTCATCGTAATTATGATACAGTATGTTATTGAATGTCGTTTTTTTTCTTAAACGGTATACTTTTGTGTGCGCCTGTTAGATGATGCAATATGATTTGCCCTTGTCCGTCCGTCCGTGCATTCTCATGTTGTGTCGCATGTAGCTCTAGAAGTACTTGAGCTAGAGTCAACAAAATTTACAAGAATGTTAATCAACATTCGGACAAATTTCTAGTTTAACATATTGATTAATCTTCAACTACACTAATAACTTAGTAATCATTTTGCTATTTCGTGTCAAGATATTTTTTTTTATTTATTTCTTTATTTTGTTAGATAAACTTAATGTTTTCTTAACCTTTTATTATTATATTATATTATATGGATTTAATGTTATCCTAACCTATTATTATTAAGTTACACGGCATCCACGTGGTAATACAGTACATGAGATGCATGTAGATATCAGGGGGCGTCCGTGGCCGAGTGGTTTAGGTCGTTGACTTCAAACCACCTGCCCCTCACCGCTGTGGGTTCGTTTGGATTCTTTCATGTAAGGAAGCTATCTAGCTAGCTTACGGAACGTCGTTGGTTCTACTCAGGTGCCCGTTTGTGCCTAAAAGAATTTTTTTTTTGGTGGGTGGGTGGCTGGGTATTTGGGTATTTTAGTTTTTTGCGTCAGTGTTATTACGCCGATTTTAACACAATTTTTTTACATATCATCTTGACCGCCCTTTTTATAGTTTTTATTTATTTATTTATTATTTATTTATTTATTTATTATACCCCCGCACAACAAAGTTGTAAGGGGGGTATACTGGAATCAGCTTGTCCGTCCGTCCGTCCGGCCGTCCGTCGGTTTTTTCTTGTCCGCCCAATAACTTAAGATTCCTTTGACCCATAGTCTTCATATTTGGCATTGAGGTTAGTCATAATTGGTAGATGGCCCCTATTGATGTTGAGGTCACCAGGTCAAAGGTCAAGGTCTCAGGGGCCTTGACTTCAAAAAGCTTGTCCGCCCAATAACTTAAGATTCCTTTGACCCATAGTCTTCATATTTGGCATTGAGGTTAGTCATGATAAGTAGATGACCCCTTTTGATTTTGAGGTCACTGGATCATAGGTCAAGGTCATAGGGACTTTGACTTCAAAAAGTTTGTCCACCCATTAACTTAAGATACCTTTGAGTAACCCACAGTCTTCATATTTGGCATGGATGTTGATCATGACTATAAGGTGACCCGTATTGATTTTGAGGTTACTGGGTCAAAGGTCAAGGTCACAGGGACCTTGACAAAAAAAGCTTTTCTTCTCAATTGCTAAAGAATGTCCTGTCTGCAATGTATTGATTTTGACATTTTCACACTTGAAGCATGTAGAATACATAACTTAGCAATGAACTGGCTTAGTAACCTCAGATTTGGCAGGGAGGTTGTCCTTGAGCTCTAAATGGCCACTGTTTATTCTGGCAAAGTGGTATTCACGCCATGATAGTGGCAGTTCTAGTTTTTTTTATAACTTATTAGAAGTTACTTATTTCTCAAACAAATGACCATAAGACGCAATGTCTGAGATAAATGGCTTAGAGAAATAACTCTTCAAATGTGAGGATACATACACCGTGCCCTGCATTACTGACAAAAAATCTGATTTCACCCCTTATGTTCATATAAAATATCTACGTATACTAAGAGTGAATTTACCATTGTAATATATCAAAACGAGTAACATCTTGTAGATACCTTTCAAGTGTGTATGGAATATGATATTTATGGCACAGGTTTTATATATTGTATGAAGATTGTTTAGATTATTTATATAATTATATAAAAGTACTTTGGACGGTAGAAAAGCTTTTCGGTACCTTTTGTGTATGTATGAAACATGTTATGAATCACATCATATCAGATTTGTCCCCAAAACTGACAACTTAAATATCTCAGTCGTGTATATACTCTTTGTTATGGAAGGTAACATATGATATAACAATACTCATTGGACTTTAATGATTGTAGATATCATTATTTGCGTTCCTTTCTATTTGTTATGCCTTAACAATTAACGATAATGTTCGGAGATAATTCATTTGATGTTACTAAAGCGCGGTGTCAGTAGGCTGTTCAATACACGTGGCATCGACTTACTGAACTGAATATGTTTGTTTCAAAATGGAACATAAAAAATATGTTTAAAACATAAACTAGAATAGCTCAATAGGGAGAGAATCAGATTAATTTGTAATGTAGGTCGCACTGCTTCTGTCCTCGGTGGAACAGAAATTTCTCTATGGCAATAAATCTCGGACAATGAGTCTTATGGTCATTTGTCTCACAACGCTGGTTCAGAAATCACGTTGGACAAGTAGTCAGTCGCTTGCAGAGAAATAAGTAGTTTCTAATTAGTAAAAAAGTCGGTCAGGTATATCGAACGCTCAGATGTGACAAAAAATTGTGTTAAAATCGGCTAAAATATTGCACAAAAAAAAAACAAAGAAAAACAAAACAAAGAAACACAACAACAAAACCCAGAACCCAACACCTTCCCCCCCCCCCCCAAAAAAAAATAAAATAAAATAATAAAATAACATAACAAAAATATATACACATGAACATGTCAGTAGTTAAAGCTTTAACAAAATAACTTGTACATGTTATTTTTCATTTTTGGAAGCTGTAACTTATGATGGAAATGGTAAAAAAAAATTGAGTTTTGGGCGTTTGCAGATGTTTTCATATAGCGGTCATTGCGGATCCTTCAATGTATCTCGTTAGTTCCATTCCATTAAAAGAGGCAAATTGTCTCCAAGTAAAACAAAAAAAATAATCGTAGAATCATGAGTTGTACTTATGATTGAACATTTAACTACATGTTTGTATTTGATTTTTGTTGCTCTTTTAACTGTTCGCGTCATGCATTATGTTTTGTGATGACATTGGTCCTTGGGGGTGATTCGAAGGGATGAAAATTGATTTTCACCTAATTTAGTGGTGCTCTTCACATCAATCGTGACTGCATACACATTTCATCTTTTATGTAAAACTCCGATTAAATGCAAATACCACATTTCAAAATGTAGAACAAGTGTCAATATGAACATGTGTTCATATACGCCTATTTTAATTCAATATGGTGACAAAAGAAAGTGATAACTTTCATTCTTTACAAACTTTTGTTTTACTTTCCCACTGTTACTTGAAATAGAAAGAAGATAAAAAGCTGATGAAAGCCGCAATTACATTTGCTGATAATGTTTAATTCCCTATAAATGCTGGAAGTGTTAATACAAAATCAACATTTTAGGAAATACTTCCTAAATCTAGCAGAAGAAGCAAAGTAATAAGGTATGTACAGTTATGTTTTTTAATTATTCATTGTTTGTATATTTCATATTTCATGTTTTAAAATTTGTTTCTTCAAGTTTCGACAAAATACTTTAAAACTGAATTTACTTTTTCGAAATTTCGTACTTAATTTACTTTTGATAAGTGGATTTTTGTTAAACGTTCGACGTTAACTTTTACTTCACTTTGTGTATTTAGAGGACGTGTATGAATCTTGTTTCTAAGTTAATTTATTGAAGGATCGAGTTGAAGTGTATACTGTGGAATCCAACGGCTATCTAAACACTGTTTCAAAAATTAATAACTCTTTTAAAAGGGGGAAAATATGTGCTTCAAAATGTTGTAGAAATTGATGTAGAACATTTAACATGCTTAACACTTAAAGAAGTAATGAATATGAAATAATTTGTGATAAATGTAGCAAAACGTAAACACAATAGAATATTGACTTCCATACAAAATAAATCAGTATAAATGTACTCATTGCAAAATGCCAAAGATTTGTTGTTTTTTTAAATGAAAATGAAAAAACGGCTCAGCTGTATAGCCAATAAGAGATCTTTGGAAAAATATTTAAGAATATCAAAAATAAGAATGAAAACTTTATTGCATTAGCATTTTCAGATTTTATGACGATATTCTAGCAAATTAATTTATTCAAATGCTTATAATGGAATTAACATTAAGCGGGTATTTCCGGTGTCTTTGTACATCGCGTAATGATGTTAACACGTAAAGTTTGCAACTGTTTGTATGCTTAGAAGTGTGCTGAAAAATTGTCAGTCCTGTAACACACATGCATAGCATTTGTTTTATACAATATGTTAATTTATTTTAAATAATTTCATTAATTTTAAGGTCAAATATCGCATAAAATTAATTCAGATAAATAAAACGATTTAAAGAATATAATATTAGGTCGTAGGATTTGCTGCTTTTCACATTGTCTTTTATAAACTTTTTCAGACATGTAAAGACTGTAATTTAATTGTCAATAAGCTTTTAATTTGTTTTTGATTTTTCGGAATAATCACCACTTTTCAGAATTCGTATGTCACCACTGGACTGAAGAAGACAACAATGCGATGCCCCAAGGACGTACACCAGAGGATGAAAGACAATATTGTGAAGATGTCTTAGGTTATGTGTTTACACAAGGAGAAAATGAATTCTATCCAAAATGTGGACAATGCTGGTGCTGTAAACCAGATGGTATGTTGATTAAGATTTATGTTTTTTTTATGACTGTCTTAATTATTTTCATTTCCAAGACAAAGAGTTTAACTGTCCATCATCTTTTGATTATTCAGCTTGATCCCGGCATTAAGACTTCTCAACTAATTTTAAATTCAACTTTCGTTAATTAAACTTAATTTAGAATTACCATAAATTATTGTACCAAATTGTCACTTTAAAAGTTCAGTAACAGACTAACGCCTTACATAATTGAATAGGAGCTAACCCGGCTAAATGGCTTTCTGACGCAGGTAATTACTTAGTTTTAAATGACAGATTTTAACTATTTTCATTTCCTAAAAATTCAAACAACACAGAGAGTAATACTGTCCCACCAGCGTGCTATTCTTCAACTGGCGTCTGATATACAGACTTCTCAACAAACATTAAATTCAACTTCTTTCTGTGTCACATTAACTTCCGAAATTAACGCTTGCAACACAATAAAGAGAGTTACTAAAGTAGGCGTCATTCTGGAATGTGTATGAATTATCGGTGCATAATATAGAGAATAATAGGTTGGTGCCGTGGATTGAGAAAGTTTATCTGGCGAGGCGGAGGAATTTATTGGGTGAGCCGAAGGCGAACCCAATAAATTCCGGAGCAGAGCCAGATAAACTTTCTCAATCCACGGCACCAACCTATTATTCTATTTATCCTGTCACCGTTTTTTTAAAGAATTTTATTAGGCAAACAACCTTTAATCACACTATCGGAAATGTTTCTATATAAACAAAGAAGGCCCTAATTTTTCTACACCAATGCACTCGCCGTTCTTATTATCTCCTCGTGTATTTTCACATTGAGGGCGCCATTTTGTTTGAAAAATGTGATAAATAAAAACAAATTTTTGTCGAATTTTGTTGTGAAAACTATCTAGAATGAAAGAAAATGGTCTAACTAAGAAAATGAATTCGAATACCAATATCTTTTATTCAGTCGTTAACGCTGTACAGACGTTTAAAGTATTGTTTACGTGACGTCACAATGTAGCGCCAAGTAGCACGTGCAAAACAATCAAATCAAGTACGCTATTCTAAAATGTCGCAAACAGTTATGTTTTACATTTATTTCACTTTAAATAATTTTTATTTCGCTTGAAAAATTATAGAGTTAAATAAAATAAACAAACAAAGTTTTATCAACGTTTCCAAAATTCGTTATTCTACACACAGAAGATTTAACGACAGTTTTTATATTTTTTCTTGAAAAGTAGTCCGGCAAACATGCATACCACGTGATCAAGTGCCGTAGATCAGTAAAAATATACGGCACCTTGTTATCGGGCCGAAATTGAGACAAGTGACAGGATAAATCTCACTTATCGATGTCACCACATTTACGTATTTGAAAGCTCATGTGAATGGAATCGGAGCCAATACCATAATTGTTTCTGGAAACGTTTCTAGCGTAGTCAATCGACTTCGTGAAAGAGTTTATGCTTACATGAATAACGTATAATTAATTCCGTCGGTAATTAATTACCTCTGCAGCATACAAAGGTCTTACGATCAACTTGAAAAGTACATCCTCGGTTAAGAACCCTTTGGTTATATGGATTTCAATTTGTACCAAAAGTGATAGAAAAGTGTGTGTTCATATGGTAACGTACGAGTTGTTATGCACCTTTTATCTTCGTTTTAAACTATAAGATCCATATAAGCATAGATATAGGTTTTTTTGCAACACAGGCATATCGAGACAATAGTGAATTATTTGGCATAATAATCATTCAATAATACTTATATTTTCCATGTTTAATGCCATATTTGTGCTCATTTGTTTTACATTGCAGGAGAGGAACTTCTGGTTAATGAAAGTTTGGTATGCTACCACTGGACTGAAGAAGACAACAACGCGATGCCCCAAGGTCGTACAGCAGAGGATGAAAGATATTATTGTGAAGATGTTTTAGGCTATACGTTTTCAAAAGGAGAAAATGTAAACTACCCGAACTGCGGGATATGTTGGTGTTGTAGACCAAAAGGTATCAACTTCATTGCATTGTTTTCAGTCTCGTGTATGCTATTACAAACTAAACAAAAGAACTAGTTATTTGGCATATTGGCCTTTGTATTATTTTCGTTAATATTGGTCAATTCACATTTGCTCAGAAGGATTGTCTTTTGCATTTTCTGATAAAAGCAACACAAAAAAGCTTTCAAATATTTCGTGGAATGATCTTTTTTCTTCTTCGTGAGATCACTTTAGAGTACTAAGAGATAATGGTATAGACTATCCTAATAAACCAAGATGGATATGGAAGTAAATAAACGCAAATAAACTCAGTTTTGTTGGGTTTTAAGTCTTTCCAGCTTTGCTGGTGGATGGAGGCCTACGTGGCCTTCCGTGTATTATATCATGCACGAACGGGAACCTGAATAGAACCTCCGACCTTCCGTAAGCTAGCATGAAAGAATCCAAAGTCTCTGTCGGGAATTGAACCCACAGCGGTGAGGGGCAAGTAGGCTGAAGTCAACGACATTAAGCACTTGGCCAACTTTACATCTTATTTTTGAGTGAAGTAGTAAGCCGGCTTTAGGACTGACGTAAGATATGCTGCTAAATGTAACCACATTCATGACATTCTTAAGAATGGTATTCATTTATATGAATTTTTTCTCTTGATAATTAAGACACGAACGTCAAACAAGTCAATAATAAAACGGTATTTTCTGCTTGACGCACGTTATGGATCGTTAATTTAATATCAATCCGAAATGGATCAACCATGTCAGTTTTTTACTGGAAGAATTTGTCCTTTATAGTTTTAGTATGTCACCACTGGACAGAAGAAGACAACAAAGCGATGCCCCAAGGTCGTACACCAGAGGATGAAAAACAATATTGTGGAGATGTGTTAGGCTATACGTTTACACAAGGAAACAATGAAGAGTATCCAAAATGTGGGGAATGCTGGTGTTGTAAGCCAGAAAGGTATTTCTCATTTTTCGATCATTTATGTATCATTTTAAGTATATTTTTCCTACTGTGCCATAAAGGACATAAATGAACATTTCACTATTGTTCCACATGTAGCATTTTACTTCTTTTTGTAAAGGATATATTTATGTAGTATTTTCCAGTTGTTCAGTAAAGAATAATTTTAAGCTAATTATTTTGAGGTATCAAAAATATAGGAATGTGTTCTAAAATTTCAAATCTTTTTTTTTTATTCCAGTATTGTTCAATATACTGTCCAACTGTTTTAAGCATTGATAGCTTTTTGTTTGTTCTTTTTGCAGTTAAAGTGCAAAGATAGCTTCTTCGCTCAAAGAGCAACCGTTCTGGACGAAATAGTCGATTTATTTTATTCATCAAAGTGTTAATCGTGCTCTTAAATAAATGATTAAAATTTATTTACTCAAATTGAACATTTGTTTCCTATTAAAACTAATGGCAAAATGGCCTTTGTTTTAAACAGGCTCCTGGTCAATGACTTTTCAAGGCAAAATAATAACTAGCTGACTAAAAATGCATTTCAGCATTAACCATATAAATCAAAAGCACCAACTATTGTATTCTGAACGTCATGAAATCGATAAAACCATTGGACACAAATGCTCGCACACTCTATTGATAGTCTTCTGACGTACAGCAAGACAGTATGACGGAGGACAAAGGCAATTCTACAAGACCTACCCTTGCCCTTAAGTGGTTGGAGCATAATAACCGGCATCAAATTTTTCCAATGTTGACATCTTAATTATTTTCCGCGAAAAATTCTTTCCGCGAATTCAAATACACATACCGTATTACAAAAATTAAGAATTTCAAAACTCAATATTACATCCCTAATTGTGCTTAAAGGAAATAAAAAACACGCAAAATTCAGGTGCACAACTACAAAGACTGACCAACAGCCCTGTAAAGTGTCATGACTGTAGGTCAAATATTTCTTGAGATATCCTAAGCACAATTTGAAAATTGCAAATTTATACTACGTCTATGGCAAAAACAAAACTGAATTAATCCACAGGAAAATCCAAGGTGCACGTCTTTACATGCTGGTTCGTTGATTCTATCTGAAGCACTTTAAGAGGTATGTACATGACACAACATTTAGGAAGGATTTTTACTAAAGCAATAACTCATAATACAAATCTGAATAAATAAAAATACAAGCAAACTCCCAGGTGAGCAACTGCACATGTATACCAAGATTTCTAGGTCAAATACTGTTTGGGCTACGCGCGACCCTAGTAGAATATTACAAATCTTAACTAAGTCAAGGGCAATGACTCTACAAAAACATTTCTGTAAAGCTTTACGACTCCATGTCATATACTTTTTGGGTGAGGCGTGATAAAAGTTGAAAATTGCAATTTTTCACCAAGTCAAGGGCAACAGCTCTCCAAATACTGCATAAATCCACAAGCAAACCACCAGGTACACAACTACATATGCTGACCAACACTTCTGTAAAGATTCATGGCACTAGGTCAAATACTTTTTGAGCTATGTGCAACACAAATTGAAAATTTTTACTAAGGAAAGGGCAAAAACTCAGTAACAGGTTCAAATCATAAGGACTTTAATTTTTCATTAACAATATACAAATGTCATTTTCCAGAGGATTAATATGCACTACAATTTTCTACAATGTATTATATTTTCTAGGTCAACAATGTTATACATTTCCTTGCCCATCTTCAATCAGGCATTCTCATGCTATATTTAGTTGTGTCCCTTTTATTCAACTTTAGGATGCATTCATTTATTTCATTCCTTTTTAGACAAATTTTAAAACATTCTTGGGGTCATATCTCAGCGATTGGTCCTCCATCAAACAGGCTTTCCTGTATAACTAATTTTAATTACCAGTGACTGGGCCAAGTGACCCACTATTTATCTCACCCGATTTCTGAATCAATGGTCATTAAAAGACTCAATGTCCGAGATCAGTTATCACAGAAAAGATTTCACCACAACAGAGTATCAAACCAGTCACCACTGGATTAAAAATCTATTGGGTCTCAATTGAGCCGAGCTGACTTAGCAGACTAGGATTTACGGTAAAGGGTCAACCCGGCCGTTAACCAACTAAGCATAGGTAAACTCAACACAATATGGAAACAAGCCCCTTGACACCAAAGAAATAATTTTGTCTACAACTGAAACACATGGATATAAATAGAAAATAAAATTACTGATTCCATTCTTTATTCACATATTTTATTCATTTGATAAGTGATAATCCATGAGATATAGTTCTGGTCTTGAGTGCATACATCAGAACAATGGCTAGAGTGTACACTCATACCAATTGTAAGAAAAGGCAAACAGAGGCCTTCATATCTCCATAGTGTCAAAGTTTTCTAACAAGAACATGTTTATTAAACACAAATGCCCCTGGCTCTGATTCTTGTTAATAAAACCGAGTGGCCTTGTGACTCCCAGCACTGGACCACCCAAGGTGTGTTTCTTCCAAAAATGATAAACATTGGTCTATAAATAAAGGTTGCATAAACCAATGTGCAAAAACTGCCTCCGTGATCAAAGGGTTAGAGTCAATGACTTCTCATCCAGTTACCTCTCAGGCGTGGGTTCGATCCCCGGGAGATGCTTTGGTAGTTTAGCGCGGAGGAAGGTAGTCTAGTACTGGTGTAACTCTCCAGGAACGATGGTTAGGAAACTACCCGCCTATATGACTGAAATACTGTTGGGGAAAAGGCATAAAAGGAAACAAACAAACAAAAGCAAAAATCTATTTTTTGGCACCCTTGACCTTGTTCCACTGACCCCTTACTCAATCCAAAAGAACGCCATGCAAGATATCTTCCAACCAAATATGAAAAACATTATGTCCATAAATAAAGACTGTATGGACAAAAGTGTAAAAATCATTTTCGTTTTTTTTCCCACTAGTGGCCTTAATACATTTCAATCCAAAACAAGAACCGGTTGAACCGGGTGATGCTCCCCGAGAAGGTTCTGGACACAGGAAAGTATAAAAAAAATGAACAAAGGGCAATAACTCCAAAATTAGACCAGGCTTTGTTTAGGTTCTTGAAGCGTTGCAGTTCTATCCAATTACATCTAGCTACCTACAAAGTTTCATGTTGATAACTCTAATAGTTTTAAAGTAATGTCCAGGACAAAAGTCAAAAAGTAAAAATAAACAAAGGGCAATTACTTCAAAATAAGGCAAGGCAGAGTAATGATTCTTAAGCACTGCACTTCCACCCAATGAGACCTATCTATCTACAAAGTTTCATGTTAATATCTCTTATAATTTTAGAGTAATGTCCCAGACAAAGTTCAAAGTGTCAAAATGAACAAAGGGCAATAACTCCAAAAGTAGGCAAGACAGTGTTACAGTTCTTGTGCACTGCAAACTTACTCAATGAGATCTATCTACCTACAAAGTTTCATGTTGATATCTCTTATACATTAAGAAATATGTCCCGGACAAAGTTCAAAGTGTAAAAATAAACAAAGGGGGATAATTCAAAAATTAGGCAAGGCAGAGTTAAGGTTCTTGTTCACTGCACACCTACTCAATGAGATCTATCTACCTACAAAGTTTCATGTTGATACCTCTTACACTTTTAGAGTTATGTCCCGGACAAAGTTCAAAGTGTAAAATAAACAAAGGGGGATAATTCAAAAATTAGACAAGGCAGAGTTACGGTTCTTGTGCACTGCACACCTACTCAATGAGATCTATCTACCTACAAAGTTTCATGTTGATATCTCTTATACTTTTAGAGTTATGTCCCGGACAAATTTCAAAGTGTAAAATAAACAAAGGGGGATAATTCAAAAATTAGGCAAGGCAGAGTTACGGTTCTTGTGCACTGCACTTCTACTCAATGAGATCTATCTACCTACAAAGTTTCATGTTGATACCTCTTATACTTTTAGAGTTATGTCCCGGACAAAGTTCAAAGTGTAAAATAAACAAAGGGGGGTAATTCAAAAATTAGGCACGGCAGAGTTACGGTTCTTGTGCACTGCACTTCTACTCAATGAGATCTATCTACCTACAAAGTTTCATGTTAATACCTCTTATACTTTTAGAGTTATGTCCCGGACAAATTTCAAAGTGTAAAATAAACAAAGGGGGGTAATTCAAAAATTAGGCAAGGCAGAGTTACGGTTCTTGTGCACTGCACTTCTACTCAATGAGATCTATCTACCTACAAAGTTTCATGTTGATACCTCTTATACTTTTAGAGTTATGTCCCGGACAAAGTTCAAAGTGTAAAATAAACAAAGGGGAATAATTCAAAAATTAGGCAAGGCAGAGTTACGGTTCTTGTGCACTGCACTTCTACTCAATGAGATCTATCTACCTACAAAGTTTCATGTTGATACCTCTTATACTTTTAGAGTTATGTCCCGGACAAAGTTCAAAGTGTAAAAATAAACAAAGGGGAATAATTCAAAAATTAGGCAAGGCAGAGTTACGGTTCTTGTGCACTGCACACCTACTTAATGAGATCTATCTACCTACAAAGTTTCATGTTGATACCTCTTGTTGTTTCAAAGTTATGTCCCGGACAAGAAAAGGGGACGGACGGACGGACGGACGGACGGACGGACGGAAAGACGGACGGACGGACGGACGGACAAGGCGGCGACTATATGCTCCCCCGAAATTTTTTCGGGGAGCATAAAAAGTTATGTAATTATCATTTTTTCAAATATGAAAAGCATCAGGTTAACATGGTACATATGGACGGACAGACGGACATTTCAATTACTATATGCCTGGGGGCATTAAAAGTATTGCTTTATTGCAAAGGTTTTTATGCAAAACAGTTAAAACTACTACATATATATAGTTTTTTCGAATTTATTCTAGAAAGGTTCAAGTCTATTTGACGTTTTACTGCAAAGGTTTTTATGCAAAACAGTTAAAACTACTAAATATATACAAATGTATAGTTTTTTTCGAATCTATTCTAGAAAGGTTCAAGCCTATTTGATGGGAACTTTTCCATTCCACTTTCTGGACATTTGTCAAGACTAGGATCATGTGGGAAAACCTGATTGCAACCCCAGTAGAGTTCAAACCCACGACCTCCACGTTGAGAGGCATACAACTTAACCGCTAGGCCACAAGCTTTATGACAATGTAGAACAGACTCTGATAAATACAGTAACTCCAACCTTTCCTGTCAAATCAGCTAAAAACTGTATAGCAAAAAGCATGTTTTCAGTTATAACAATTCTAATAGCACTACCAAAAGCAGTAATATGGTCATTTAAAATTGTCACATCAAGACTCGAACCCTCATTCCTTACATATGTAAAGTCTTGCCGGTGTCCTGCATAAGAGTAGATATTTTCCAATCCTGCTGACAAAAGCATAGATATGGTCATCTAAAATTGTCACATGAAGACTCGAACGCATGTTTTCTACATATGTAAAGTCTTGCCGGCCTCCTGCATAAGAGCACACAATTTCTCATCCTGCGCCCAGTTAAGTCCGCTGCCCAGTATGAGGCCTTGTAGCACATTGTTTTGAATGTAGTTCAGTTGTAGTTTGGCCTGCATCACTTCATGAATGCTAAAATACAATTATAAAATTATATTGGACAAAATACAAAGTTTTTTTTCTTCTTTTTATTCCATCATTCCACTCTTTGAAAAAAGAAGGAAATTTTTATATAAAAATTGTTTACACTATATGTGAAAAGTTTGTGAGCAGATACAAACTTGCTGGCTCAAACCTTTGACATTTAACTGTTACCTTGACCTTTAACTGTTTAACTGTTACCTTGACCTTTAACTGTTTAACTGTTACCTTGACCTTTAACTGTTTAACTGTTACCTTGACCTTTAACTGTTTAACTGTTACCTTGACCTTTAACTGTTTAACTGTTACCTTGACCTTTAACTGTTTAACTGTTACCTTGACCTTTAACTGTTTACTTAACTATAAACTGTTACCTTGACCTTAAACAGTAACAATGACCTTTAACTGTATCATTGACCTTGAATGTGGGCGTCTGGCATGTGAATTCTTCACAATGTCTAAACGAGCTAAACATTTGACATTAGTACTTTCAATATGCCTAAATCTGTTCAAAAGATATAGAGTTGACACATTTTCTTTTTGGCTTTAACTTTGGGCTTTTGTCTTGAAATTTTAAATTTGGGGCAACTGAAACCTGGGTCCAGCACTTTGCCTGAATGAGGAGCACATTTGACCCAAATATCAAGAATCAAACACACCAAATAACACTAGATTTTTCAAACAAAGAACCCAGCAAGAAATGATTTGAATAGAAATTAACCAAATCTAATTTTTTTATCTAACAAGTTTTATTCTCAACAGCTCAGGCAGACAGAAAGATAGACAATCAGGGTATAACATTTTTAAACCCTTCGGCCATTTGCAAAAAAAAGGCGATAAAATATTTTATCACATATACCACGGTGCAGGAGTGTAATAAAACCATTTAACAAAACCAATATTAAAATATTGACATAAAATTTGTATTTACCTTTTACCATCTGCGTCAGTTGTCAATGCTTTTAACTCCTCTTCTTTGGCCCTCCGTTTCTCCTCGATCTCCGAGTATAATTTTCTGCATTTCTTTTTTAGAGCTGTTAAATAAATGAAACAGTATCTTAAAATATAGTACTATTTATTTTACACCTTACAAAACTCGACCAATAAACTTCAAATATCTGCACCATATATTCTAATGGAAATTATAAGTGGATCAAATTTTATCAATTAAGGTAGTCTTACTGCAGTGCTCTGTGGCCGCGTGGTTAATGTTGTTGACTACAAAGCACTTGCCTCTCACAACGACATTAAACACGCTGCCACAGACGCCTGTTTGCTGCATTATTCTAACATTTTGATAATGAAATCTCGTAACATAAAAATGGGTAATATCAAATCGGGCCAAACAAAGCGAGAAAATAAACCCTTAGCATGCAAGCGCTTTAGGATTCCACCTGTGCAACCAGTGCAGAACAAGATTAACTAGCATACCCTTGCTGTCTGATCATGGTATGCGATTTAGCCAGTACATATTTTGAAATTTTCCTAAAAGTTATGAATGGTTTTGGTTTTGTCCAGATTAGAAGATTATGTCACTTACTTATCTTTACCATATATAGGAATTTCTCAATATCAGAACTTTCCAATTTCAAATGGAAAACAGACCAAACCACAAAAGCAAACATCAACAAAGATAGCATTCAAGAGAAGTGTTCAATAAACTTCTGTAGGTCAAAGATATATGCCAATGTGGAATAATGATATCATACTAAAATTTTCCAGTTTTAGTTTCTCAAGGTTTTCTCTCAGACTGGAGTTCTCCTGAAATAAAAAAAAATCAAATTAAAGAAATGCCAACATTGTGAACAATATAAAACACAGCCCGGTTAATAGATGTTTTCCGGAACATGGCAATTGTGGGGTTTTACAGCTTCACGGTGCACTATCAGTTTTACCATTAGAGATTCAAGGTACAATATCGGTTTTACCGTAAAAGCTTCATGGTGCACTATCGGTTTTACCGTAAAAGCTTCATGGTACACTATCGGTTTTACCGTAAAAGCTTCATGGTACACTATCGGTTTTACCGTAAAAGCTTCATGGTGCACTATCGGTTTTACCGTAAAAGCTTCATGGTACACTATCGGTTTTACCGTAAAAGCTTCATGGTGCACTATCGGTTTTACCGTAAAAGCTTCATGGTGCACTATCGGTTTTACCGTAAAAGCTTCATGGTGCACTATCGGTTTTACCGTAAAAGCTTCATGGTACACTATCGGTTTTACCGTAAAAGCTTCATGGTACACTATCGGTTTTACCGTAAAAGCTTCATGGTACACTATCGGTTTTACCGTAAAAGCTTCATGGTACACTATCGGTTTTACCGTAAAAGCTTCCATTACAATATCGGTTTTTACCGTAAAAGCTTCATGGTACACTATCGGTTTTACCCTAAAAGCTTCATGGTGCACTATCGGTTTTATCGTAAAAGCTTCATGGTTCACTATCGGTTTTACCCTAAAAGCTTCATGGTGCACTATCGGTTTTATCGTAAAAGCTTCATGGTGCACTATCGGTTTTATCGTAAAAGCTTCATGGTTCACTATCGGTTTTACCCTAAAAGCTTCATGGTGCACTATCGGTTTTACCCTAAAAGCTTCATGGTACACTATCGGTTTTACCGTAAAAGCTTCATGGTGCACTATCAGTTTTATCGTAAAAGCTTCATGGTGCACTATCGGTTTTACCGTAAAAGCTTCACGGTACAATATCGGTTTTACCGTAAAAGCTTCATGGTACACTATCGGTTTTACCCTAAAAGCTTCATGGTGCACTATCGGTTTTATCGTAAAAGCTTCATGGTTCACTATCGGTTTTACCCTAAAAGCTTCATGGTGCACTATCGGTTTTATCGTAAAAGCTTCATGGTGCACTATCGGTTTTACCGTAAAAGCTTCATGGTTCACTATCGGTTTTACCCTAAAAGCTTCATGGTGCACTATCGGTTTTACCCTAAAAGCTTCATGGTACACTATCGGTTTTACCGTAAAAGCTTCATGGTGCACTATCAGTTTTATCGTAAAAGCTTCATGGTGCACTATCGGTTTTATCGTAAAAGCTTCATGGTTCACTATCGGTTTTACCCTAAAAGCTTCATGGTACACTATCGGTTTTATCGTAAAAGCTTCATGGTGCACTATCGGTTTTACTGTAAAAGCTTCATGGTGCACTATCAGTTTTACTGTTAGAGCTTCACGGTGCACTATCGGTTTTACTGTTAGAGCTTCACGGTGCACTATCAGTTTTACTGTTAGAGCTTCACGGTGCACTATCAGTTTTACTGTTAGAGCTTCACGGTGCACTATTGGTTTTACTGTTAGACCTTCATGGTGCACTATCAGTTTTACCGTTCGAGCTTCACGGTGCACTATCGGTCACAAAAGATTAGTCAACCTGTTGTGCTTAATTTCAAAGCTGTTACAGTAAATGTTTGTTTGTACCACCCGATTAGGGAAAAACCTGAATATTATAAGTTCCGGGGTAAGTCTATAGTGCAAACCATCAAACGTTACTCACATAATAATATATTTACTTTAATAATATTATAGGGACTCAACTGAGATTTTTTGACATATGACGGATCTGGAAACATTTGTGTACTATTTGATGCAGGTCTAGACAAATACCAATGTGTGTGAAATTTCTGGTAATTCACTCTGCATTTCCAGAAAAAGATCATTTTAACTGTGCAAAATTATCTAAAAAATGAAAAACTTTCAAACGCTTTTACTCAAAAAAGTAGCGGGAAATTTGATTTATAAATAATGATATTTTACTTTTGAAATTCTATATTTTTACAGATATATTACCTTGTGTTCTTTTGCTACATGAGACGCCAGTGTTGTATACTCGTCTAAAATAGTTTCCAGTTCCCTAGATAGAAATCAGCAATATATGATTAAAGCCTTATACAACTAATTTTTACTGTTTCATGAATAATACTGTATAAGTTTGTTAATTTTGCGATTGCCATTTTTGTGAATTGAAATTATTCACAAATATTTGATCGCGCAAAAATTGTTTTTGTAGGCAAACTTTCTTCTTTCATCTGAAATCAATGTTTCATAAAGCATCCTTCATGAATAAGTTTGACTGTTCATTTATTAAAATTGATATTTCTCATTTCTTGTTTGTTTAAGTTTGGTCTTAATAAATCACAAATGTTAGAATGAAACAATATATGTGTTAGTAACACAATAGGTTATTCACATAACAAAAAATGTTTCAAAATATGGCTAGCAAAGTGTGATAAGGTCCTTTATCAAATTAACAACAAACAAAAGGACCCAACTGGTAATAAGATAATCAACTCTTGTTTGAAAATAAAACAAATGATCTTAAATTAAAACAAAATGACATCCAGACCATCAGATTTAACAGTTGCAGTCTCAGTAAATCTTTGCTGGCCAGGAATACAGTTTTGCCACATGGGTAATTAAGCAATTATTAAAAATATATAATATGTATACAAAAAGTTACCTTTTCTTTTCTAAAGATTCTGAGTCATCGTGGCCAGTGAGTTTACATTGAAGAACAGATAATGTCACCTCATTCAAACATTCTCTGAAATAAATGGAGATTTAATGATAAATTGTAGCTTTAATGTAAAACAAGAGCTGTCCATACTTGACACAAAGAAAAGAGGCATAACTCTGTAGAAAATATAACAAGAGCTGTCGGTAGGACAGCAACGCTCGACTATTCTTAGTGCTTGATAGTAAAAAAAAATGCTTGATACAATTACCTCCTCCTGTTTACAGGTTGGGGTAATGATGGTGAACAAGTGTGCAAAGTTTCAAAGCCATATGTCAATGGACTTTGAAAATATTTGAACTATTACAAAAACTTTAACGTAAATTCTAAGTCGAAAAAGGGGCATAATTCTGTCAAAATGCTTGATACAGTTACCTCCTCCTGTTAACAGGTTGGGGTCATGATGGTGAACAAGTGTGCAAAGTTTCAAAGCCATATGTCAATGGACTTTGAAAATATTTGAACTATTACAAAAACTTTAACGTAAATTCTAAGTCGAAAAAGGGGCATAATTCTGTCAAAATGCTTGATACAGTTACCTCCTCCTGTTAACAGGTTGGGGTCATGATGGTGAACAAGTGTTCAAAGTTTCAAAGCCATATGTCAATGGACTTTGAAAATATTTGAACTATTACAAAAACTTTAACGTAAATTCTAAGTCGAAAAAGGGGCATAATTCTGTCAAAATGCTTGATAGAGTTACCTCCTCCTGTCTACAGGTTGGGGTCATGATGGTGAACAAGTGTGCCAAGTTTCAAAGCCATATGTCAATGGACTTTGAAAATATTTAAACTATTACAAAAACTTTAATGTAAATTCTAAGTCGAAAAAGGGGCATAATTCTGTCAAAATGCTTGATACAGTTACCTCCTCCTGTCTACAGGTTGGGGTCATGATGGTGAACAAGTGTGCAAAGTTTCAAAGCCATATGTCAATGGACTTTGAAAATATTTGAACTATTACAAAAACTTTAACGTAAATTCTAAGTCGAAAAAGGGGCATTATTCTGTCAAAATGCTTGATACAGTTACCTCCTCCTGTCTACAGGTTGGGGTCATGATGGTGAACAAGTGTGCCAAGTTTCAAAGCCATATGTCAATGGACTTTGAAAATATTTGAACTATTACAAAAACTTTAACATAAGTGGTTACGCCGACGCGGACACCAACGCCGACGCCGACACCGACGCTCTGGTGACTACAATAGCTCTCATATTCTTCGAATAGTCGAGCTAAAAAGTATATACCAATTCACAAGTATGGCAACATATGTCATGTCATATGACTTTATTAACACTTAACCTGTTTACTTCACATTATGGATTTGCCCGGTTTTGAATTTGGAACAGTTCATTCTGGGTCTAAGGGATTTCAACATCAACTTCAAATTTTTATCTTGATATCCCCAAAAATTGATAATGGACTGTACCAAAATTGGAAGCTGAACATGTTCATTCAAGAAATTCAGCAGTTTCAGAGTTAAGGTTAATTCTGCTATATAAAAGTCCGACATATTGCGATGTTCGGGGAAGACCTCTGGCTCTCTGTCTATTCTTTTTTCTCCAAGAAAAAGGCTTCATCTCAGTTGAACCACCGATGGCTTACTCACAAGACAGAATGCAAAGTACCAAAATAGAGATAAACAGAATCCCTAAAGAATGCACAACCACAAAACTGCAGTGAGCCAGCAGCAGTGAAGTGCATGTGATACCAAGTTGGTGACTTTAACAATCCGAAAAACAAAGGAATCTATGAAACCTAAGTTTTAGTGTTACGTACCCTTTCAGTATAAGTTCTCTTCCATCATTTAATGTGCTGTGTTGTAGTAAATCTTCTTTCAACTGATCATATCTGAAATAAGTATGATGGAAAGGTAAATAACACCTGCAGGAAAGCCTAATAAATATGGTGATTTACATTCAGTTTAGAAACTTGACCTTAATCATAGAACTACTTGTCTGACTTGAAACACAATGTCTTATCTAAATAAACATTTGTGCCAAGTTATATTAAACTTACTCCATGCATAAGCCAGGTACATCTTGGTTCATACAGAATTTATTTAAGATGTTGTTCTACATGATCCTTTCCTTTTTGATACTTCATATTTATTTTAGTTTGACTGTGAAGGAAGCTTAAAGACACACTTACAAATCCGATCCTGGAACCAACCAGTACAGAGTTCAGTTACAAATATTAAGATTCTTGTTTAAGGAAACCAGGCTTCAAACTATGTGGATAGCGATTCTAACGTGTTAACCACTCAGGCATCCTGCCATTTACAACTTGCATTCTGTACAAGAAATATTGCACATATCTTGACCATTTACCCTAATGTATAACTTGACCATTGATCAACTAGAAATAGTTCTTGAGCATACTACATTGTTTCAAACATTTGTGCCAATTTTGAAATTTACCTTTGTGATACACCATGGACAAACATGCAAGTTGCAAGGACTAACTGGTTACACAAATTTTGTTCTGATGTTTCTATCATTATCAAAAATTTTTATTACATGTATATTACAGTATATAAAATGAATTGTCAAAAAAAAGTCAAAAGTACTTACAGGTTTCTAAGCTGGTTAGTAGTCATTGTGTCAATGTTTCTTGCAGCCTCTGAAATATACACACCTTATTTATTAAATATGTTATAAATGCCCTAAAAAATGTTAAAGTCTTGTAATATTAAACGGGTATCAAAGTAAATATGTTCCATTTTTACATCTTTTTAATTTATAAATACTATCCTTTTTTGTAAAAATCCATCCAAATTGAAAAACTGCATTTGCAAATTGTATTTAGCCATGCATTTTTGATACTTTGCAAACCCTGCTTGCAATGGCATGGAGGAAAATATCAGCTTTTAAACATCTTTTACATGCATTTATAAAACATATTAAAATTTTATTCTTACACACACTTTAGGTGTCATTGTCGCCAATTTCGTAAATTTACTGTGTCAAATTTTTGCCATATGACAACTTGATAAAAATACAATTTTGTATACAACATCTACCTGATTGAATTGTATGTAACTCAGACTTAAGCTGGTTCCTTTGTGAATACAGCCATTCTCTTTTTCTGAGCAAGTCTTCTAGTGATGGTTCCTGGCTTGCCGTAAGAGGAGTACCCTCTGATAATGGACTAACATTCATCAGTTCTGGTGTAGCCCGGGAATGTCTCAACCCAGAGCCCCTTCCTCCATTGGCTGGACTGATGCTGGGGACTAAGTCATTCTCTGGAGTTGCCATTCCTTTTCTGAAACATTATAAACATTGTCTGTAAAATCATTTTCTTACATTATTTTCTTTAAAGAGAAACCACAGCTTTAATTGAAGCCTTGCAAAAATTGTGGACTGAGACTTTAAGTTAACAAGTAATCAAGCTTTATTTTTCTGAAAATCAAACATTTGAGTCATGTACAAAGAATACACAGGCCATCTGCTTGAGACTTCTTAAGCCTTTTCCCAAGGAACCTACCCTGTGGTCCTCAATACCACCCAAATACATTGCAAATATAGTACTGATACTTTTTTTTTTTTGATAGTATTTTGCTATATAGTCATGATCTGTTCTAGATAATTTGGCTTGCAATGTACTTTGTTGGCTATGAGTAAACAGGCTGGTGAAAATGCCCGATTGGGCTTATGACATGAAAATTCATATTTCTAGAAAAGTAATTAATATATTTCTATTAAACTTTGTTTGTTTACTGAGAATAATATTTGACATAAACAGATAGAGAAAAATATTTGGCTACTGTCACTTTTGTGAGAATTATTTCCCCTTTTTCATGTTTTTATAACACATAATTTTTGAAGTCCTTAAGAAATATGTTGCATATGCAAATTTTAAAACAAAATAAGTTAAATAAATTCTTTATGCTCTAATTCATTGCGCCAACACCTGTCAGCATACATTTCATTCAGTTTTCATAGAAAACTTCAAAGTATAATGTCCAGTGTCAAAGAATTGTCAAAAAAAATGCCAGGAACAGAATATTTAATCCAAATATATTGAATAAAGGCACTGACAGTGGCAACATAATCTTGAGCAAAATGAAGTTGTTGGACACATTTGTTAATGGAATTTTACATTACAACATGATTTTCATGAACTTCAAATATTTTGTTTCCAGAAAATGGGAAAAAGGGAAATAATTCTAAGAAAATAAAAGATAACCAAATATTTTTATTTGTATCATATAAAAATGCTTAATAAACAACAAGTTAGAAAGAAACATTTAAATTATTTTTCTATAAATATGATTTTTTATGTCTTATATAAGCCCGATCGGGCATTGTCACCAGCCGGATAAAGAGGATTCAGATGGTGGGTCACGAAGGAAATCAGTTTACATGATACATCTAGTTATAAGTTAGTTAGGCAAGAGTTGTGTGTAAGTTGAGTGGAGCATATGACAACTTATTCCCCTCTCTTAATATTTCAGATGGCATTACTATAAAATTATGAAAAACAAAACAAAATTGCAAATTATGTCATTTTTTTGCATCGCGAAAACTCATTACATGATACAATAATTTAATTACATGGGTGATGATATAGTGACTTTACATAATTTGATAGTAGAACGTGATACGTACATGAAAATCAATCATTAGAAATTAGACTTGCAAACTAGTTTAAAGGCGATTCCTCAATAATTCAATTTTGTTTCCAAATTTGTATTTCCCGGTGATGAAGTCGACTATATATGTCTGTTTAGTACCGTCCTATAACTGTAGTACCGTACTATAACCGTATAATTCATACTAGCTAGAACACATGAATTTATATGTGCCATGTTATGTGCCATGCGAACATGGCGGATTCAGTTTTAAACTTTATCTATTTGATAAATTGTACATGAAATAACATATATAATTATTTCACAACAAAGTAATTAAGACTGGATCGAAAAACAAGTAAAACAATACTTTGTTTCCAGATTTTTATACTTCACAACAGTATGTGTCAAGTGCTGTGTGGCAGCTGTAAAAAGTTGTCCCGTGCTTCACTTCAGTGTTGTTATATTTTTCTGGTCCTTCGGGATCATTGATGCCAGCACTATTAAGTGTTGAGAATTAAGTACCGCTCAAGCCGGTGCTAGGGGTCGTGATGGATGTTGCACGTATTCATTATCCCTCATGTACAGACTCGATCAAACCGAGTCTGCAATTCTCTTGTAATTTTGTTGTGATTAATGCTTCCGAGGGATCACTTTGTTTCCAGATTTTTTTTACTGTATACAGTATCAATTCTTCTCAAGTAATTTTATGTAAATTTTCAAAAAAATAAAATAAAGATACAAAAATGTTGAGGTTAGATGTAAGCGCTTTGAATGTACAACTCATGTAACTTATGAAGAAAAGCTAGCAGAAAGGAAGCATATAAGGAGAAATATGATTGAATATATCATATGAATATCGTATGAATTTTGAACACCTAAGATAAACATGTGACGGAATATGAGCGTACTGAGAGGCAAAGTTCATTCACACTGATATTAAAATTCTTACAAAAAGCGCTTCGATTGTGAGATGATTTTTTGGACATTAGTAAGCTTTAAAAACAATCTGTTTTTATATAACGCAAATGACTGCACGTATTATTACACTAGTGTAATAATTGTTTTGTTTTTTAATGGGTTTATTAATACACTCCTGCGTCGTAGTTAATATGATAAAGATAATTATATATTATAGATAGTAAACGTCCATCTTATAAGAAGATTTATTTATATTGCATATTGAAAAGAACCAGTCCTTTTTTAAAAGTATTAATTAATAAAAATGTGTGTGTATACATATATATAAAGTACCAACTTACCAAATGGAACTCAAGAGTTATCAAATTTTACCAGGAAAATATATTTTGTTATCACAATGGCAAAGCTCTGTAACTGCAAGCACGGAAATAACATGTATTGAAAATTTAGCATTAAATTTAAAATATTTTCAAAGAAATGCACTTCGAACGGTTGCATTGGAAACAAGTTGACGAAAATGACGAAGAGCCACAGGCTGATGATAGCCCGATACATACTAAAGATTATGTAATGAAAGTTTGTAAATAAATAATTTACATTATGAACATATTTGTTTTATTTTTTATATTTAACTCCAAATAGGGGAAGGACGTTTAGAAGTATTACTTAATTCATACAATCCGTTTATTTCCAGCAAAAAAGTAACTTTTTGTAAACTTAGATAAATCGGGGCGATTTTGGAAATGATCCGCACAGTCCATTTCCGTCCGTTCTTTATTACTAACAATACTTACCATTGGCCCCGTGTTCACTAAGGATCACATTTACTCGTACATAAAAAAACTTAAATATTCTCCATCGTTTATGCTCATAGATGAAACATTCAATATTAACTTGGTAAAACTGGATGTGAAATAGCATGTTTATGAAATTTTTGAATTAATTAATTGTTATTTAAAAGATACGAGCATATTAATTTTATCCAAATATTGATCTTGAACTTTAAATTGATCCGTTAATTTTTGTATTTGTTTCGATATTCGTAAATTTTATCCCATAATAGGATTTCATCTTTGCAAATCAGCAATATTTTACATTATGGTTATGCACCAATCATTTGAGCCGCGTCACGACCAAACCAACATAATGTGTTTGCGACCAGCATGGATCCAGACCAGCCTGCGCCTCCGCGCAGTCTGATCAGGATCCATGCTGTTCGCTATCAGTTTCTCTACTTGTAATAGAGTTGGTAAGCGAACAGCATGGATCCTGATCAGACTGCGCGGATGCGCAGGCTGTTCTGGATCCATGCTGGTCGCAAACCCATTATGTTGGTTTTTTTATGACGCGGCTCATTTGATCCTGATCTTTTTTAGTAAACATCTAACAATACTTTTGCCGGTTATTGCCGTCTATCATGGTATGCACTGTTTATTAAAAAGTCTGAATATTTCCCTAAAATAATGAACGGTTTTGTCCTCAAAGAAAGATTGGCAAGTAGTGTTCACTCTTTGTCCGCTTAAACTTCCGCTTGCCTGCAAGAAAAATCGCTGATTTTCAACTGAAAATTAATAAATAAGTTCAAAAAAGACCAATCATGGAGGAATTATTACTTTTATAATTAGAAGTTACATACAAGAGATTATTTCTGGCCTAAGCCCTACGGTAAAACATACATTTTCCGGAAAAAAAACGATTTCTCACCCAGATTCCTCAAATAATGTCACAATTGTTTACTTGAAACACCGATTTCAAGCTTTGCATATAATATACGAGCAAATCCTCTTGAAACTTTAAAGAATATTGATTATTATAATCATGTGAGCTTAAGAAAATTAAACAATATCTCGTGTACACACAGTGGTTTATGAAAAAATGACAAATAATTCATTATTGGTGTTGTTTCCTAACTGTACGGTTGCTTGCTAACTCATAGTTGCTTGGGAGAATAAATTAAAACTGTGTGCCGTTGCCTTGGAGCCAAATATTGTACAATTTCTTGATGTTTTATTTGTTTTAGTTATTGTCAATTAATTTAAGATCCTCAATTGCTCATAAACGGCTTAACATTCAGACAAATTAATCCTGATTTAAACATTTATTGAGATTTGGCTACAAACGAAGGAATCACTGCTCAAAATTGCATTTGAGCTCCATATATATTAAGGAGATCCATATGCACATAATATAAAAAAATATAGCAACATAATTACGGATCACTTTCATAAAGCAATGTATAATTTATTCTTGTGCGTATCATTCTGTAGTAAAAACTATTATCCGAAATAGACACATTTTCACGAGACGAGCTTAAATAACATAGTATCCTTATAGAAAGAGATAAAAGACATTCTGCATACGAAAGGTATTGAAAATGGGAAGGCATTGTTTATTTTGATTTATTGCCGTCATATGTACTGCAATCATTCTCTTTTTATGCCGCCATGCATTAATTAATTAATTTACTAATTATTCACTCGACTGCACTGTCTGCTTCATAGGGGAGTAATGTGAAGCGTGTTTGAATTTTTAATGACGCTGTAGAAAGTTAGTGATAAACTATTTGAAAAAAAGATCAAAGAAACTTAGCATATTTATTTTTCCACATCAAGAAACGTCCTTGCATAATATCTACATGGTTTAGTTCATGTCCATAGTCGCAATTATGGGTCAATGCCTATTTGACTTATTTTATGCATGCTCTGTAACTCTTTGGATGTTTTTTAAGAAACTTTAACAAATCTTAACAGCATTGAGCGATCATGCATCCTTTATCCTAAATGTTATGTTGCGCTAGGAGGCACTGCCTCTATGAATCTTTCATGAGTAGCATTACTATTATCCATTTCAAGTCCCCAAGAAAGTAACAGTTATCGTTACCCGTAATAATCGACTTATTGATATAGATTTAATCAAAGTGCTGAATGCACTGAATGCGACGGACATGCAACCGGAGAGACATCAAGGCTTTTTCTGAAAAAAAAACACACACACAAAAGATATAGCAGATACAATTTGTTCCATAAAAGTTCGAGATTTGTAGAGCAATCTATTTTAGGTGTCCCAATCTGATATACTTCAGATTTTCTACTTTCAAGCAGAACACGTCCAAATTTTTAAATACAAAATGAAATTTATGCCTCAAAACTCTTATCGATTTATTTGTAAATAGAAAAAAACTGTCAACGAAATATTTCTAAAAGCATAATACATAGTAATGCGAGAATGTTAATTAGAATTGCTTCAAATTATACTATAGTTGGCATATAGACAATAAAATAAAGTCATTAGTACTTTTATTACTCTTAGATATGTCTCATTAAAATATTTTTGGTTAAAACCATCAGCAATTAATGGTGTATTTTTTAGATTTATTTTTCATTTACAAGGTAAAGATGTAGAGGCCAGAGCACATCTTGTTTGCTTCTTACAATTGTATAAAATTTCTTAAAGTATTGCATGTAAACAAAGTAAGTATCCGCTGATTTATTACATGTATAATGTGTACTACCTAATCGCTTGTCCGAAAGTCAGCACAGGTGATGTAGCGGTGATAAAATCTATTTTTAGAATAGTGTTATCCCAGATCGAAGGCTATTATAATCTCTCACAAATCACATTAGCAGGTTAACTCATATCGTGACCTAGAAAATTATGTAATTAATGCGCGAGATATTCTAGAATTGCTGAGTCACGAAAAACTTTTGATCTGTTAATAACTAGAAATGTGTCATCATGCCACGGATGCCCCCGCATGCAGCCATAATTTCAAATGTTATAATATTTAGTTCCAAATTTGTTTGCACAAATTATTTTTTTCATTCTAAGTTCAAAGCCCTTAAAACTTTTCAATGTTAACACAAACCATGATTATACAATGTTCAAGGCACTGAAATTATTCAGTCTTAACCTTTTGAAAATAGCATATTGCATATTTGTAGCCAAAATAATGGCTATATACATTTCCACAAAAGTATGAGTGCTGAAACTGAAAGTTCAAAATTTTTCCAACATTCAGGAAAGATAAGTTTGTCCAAAATCATTGAACCACGACCAAATTCAAACTTAAACTGCTTATTCCTAAGATGTATCTATATTATTTTCAAAGTGAAAGGGACATAACTCTGCCAAAAAAAATCATCGAACCATGACCAAATTCCAACTTGACCTGCGCACTCCTTTGACATATCCATATGTCAATTTTGAGTTGAATATGTAACACTGTTGGGTTGATAATGAACAGAAACTGTAAATTTCATATCATTTTCAAAGTGAAAGGGGCATTACTCTGCCAAAAATCATTGAACCATGACCAAATTCAAACTTGGCCTGCGCATTCCAAAAACATATCCATATGTCAAATTTGAGTTGAATGTGTAATACTGTTGGGGAGATAATAAACGGAAACTGAAAATTTCATATTATTTTTAAAGTGAAAAGGGCATTACTCTGCCAAAAATCATCGAACCATGACCGAATTCGAACTTGACCTGTATTTTCTCCTGACATATCCATATGTCAAGTTTGAGTTGAATGTGTAATACCATTGGGGAAATAATGAACGGAAACTGAAAATTTCATATTATTTTCAAAGTGAAAGGGGCATAACTCTGCCAAAAATCATCGAAACATGACCAAATTTGAACTTGACCTGCGCATTCCTTTGACATATCCATATGTCAAGTTTGGAAACTGAAAATTTCATATTATTTTCAAAGTAAAAGGGGCATAACTCTGCCAAAAATCATCGAACCATGACCAAATTCGAACTTGACCTGTATTTTCTCATGACATATCCATATGTCAACTTTGAGTTGAATGTGTTGTACCGTTGGGGAGATAATGAACGGAAACTGAAATTTCATATTATTTTCAAAGTAAAAGGGGCATAACTCTGCCAAAAATCATCGAACCATGACCAATTTCGAACTTGACCTGTATTTTCTCATGACATATCTATATGTCAAATTTTGAGATCAATATGTGCAACGGTTAGTAAGATAATGAACGGCAACTGATGATGACGAAAGGACGGAATGACAGAACAGGGTAACACTATATGCCCCTGCCATTATATGGCGGGGGCATAAAAATGTTTTGTTTAATGGAGAAATATTCATTTCCTACTATAATTTCCAGGAATTATTGAGCTTACTCCTTAATTATAGCATAATTTGCTGTCCTACTGTTTCGACAGCGGTTATTTGCATATTGCGCAATAATACTACGGGGCTACAGCGTTTTTATCAATCAAATACGTTCATATTTTAACTTGGATAACTTTATTTGAAAATAAAAAGGCTAAATATTGAAGTTTTTTAAGATATCCCGACAAAGTATGGGAGTTTCATAGGATCAAATTCATGTACTATTTCTTGGGCTGTTATTCGGTTGGGGACACTTCGATGTCGCACCAGGCCATGTTATTTCCACATAGCAGTCTCGTCGCTATAACTTGTGGAATCTTAAAGTTATAAATAATTTTATGAATATAGAAACATATTATATGACACGATAGCTTTACAAAGTTCAATACAATGTACTTTCAATTTGACTTGTCCAATTTTCATATCCTTTATTAGTAATTTGTTTATCATTGGAGTACTATCCGCTCTGTGTCAACATTTTCATGTACTCGGGCCTTTTACTGTTTTAGTTTTTCTAATGCTAGCAGAAGCTAGTAAGCCCTGTCATTGTGGTGATCAAACACACTTATGTTACTATTAAGTTTTCAGCAAAAGCTACGAAACCTTAATTGTTCCTTTACATTGACTATTTAATGATTATATGGAAGTCGTCCATAGTTTTGTAGATGGTATTCTACATCACTTATGGATCTCTTCAGCATATATGAAGCTTAAATGCAATTTTGAGCAGCGATTCCTTCGTTTGCAGCCTTTCAATAAATGTTTCTGAATGTTAAGCATTGGTCTGTAGTGAGATTTCGTAAAATTTCTGTTTTTAGTCCGTTTAGTGACATTTTCTTCATGAACATTGCATGTTTTAGACACAAGACGGAAAGAATATCTCGATGAAGACTGCATATAAATCCAATACAAAAATGGGTAATATAGAGGAGAGTCAGGAGGGTGGAATCACATTTCGATTTTCTAAAAAAAAGGATTGAATTTTATATAACTGTTTAAAAAATTCAAAACTTACCCTGCGATTTACCTATTTTCTCAGTCACATCTGGAGCAGCGGAAATTCACATATACTTTTTACCGATGCTCATTTTCGAGATACATATGGGGTTCCACTCATGTGATGGTGATTATGTACTATGTACGCTCCGTGAACCTTGTGAGTGGTGCCCTTTGAGCGAAGTGAGTTCAGTGTGTGAGTAGTGTCCTGTGATTCATGTTCACTTTGTACATGGTGTCCTGTGTTTTGTTACGTCAATATTTGAGTAGAATCCTGACGTTTGCTGTCTACATTGTGTGTAAGGTCGTTGTGTAAGTAGTGCCTTGTGTGTCAGTGCTTGCGAAGTGAAATGCGAGACTTGTTCGCCGTCTGCATCATTGTGGTCAACTTATGCTTTGTGCCATGTCATCATGTAAGTAGTAGTGGACTGTGTGTAAGGTCAGTGTTTCAGTTGTGACCTGTTTGTCAGTGTGTGTGTCGATGTGCTTAAATAGTATACTGTGTGTCAGTAGCGCCCTATGTGTTAGTGTGTACAGTTTTGTGAGGGGTGCCATGTGTGATTTGGGTGTCTGTATGTTACTGTTTGAGTTGTGTCCTATGTGTCGGTGTGTGTCATTTCTTATGTTTGAGTTATGCTGTGTGTAACATTATGTGAGTCGTGTCCTGTGTGTTATTGTGTCGGTTGTTTACTGTGTATCAGTTGTGCCATATGTGTCAGTGTGTTAATGGTGCCCTGTGTGTTAGTAGTGTCCTGTCTGTCAGTGTGTGAGTCGTCTGTCAGTGTGTGAGTCGTTTCCTGTCTGTGAGTGTGTGAGTTGTTTCCTGTGTGTCAGTGTGTGAGTATGTCGCGTATGTCAGTACTGTCCTGTCTGTGAGTGTGTGAGTCGTTTCCTGTCTGTCAGTGTGTGAGTCGTTTCCTGTGTGTCAGTGTTTGAGTAGTGTCCTGTCTGTCAGTGTGTGAATGGTGCTCCGTTAGTTCCGTTCATTGTGAAAGTTATGATTTGTGAGTTATATTGATTGTGTGAATTATGTTTTATATTGAAATCGCCATTACAAGAGTCATTTTTTTTATTGTTGTTAGTATTTTTAGTGGAGTAGCGGAAGATCGAACTCGCGACCCCTAGACTTGTAGTCAGACACTGTTACCACTGCACCACAGCGTCCGCTCTGATTTATAACTATTTTGTAGTCCCTATATACATTACAAAAAATTGAGTAATACAATTGAATTTTCACACCTAAATAGTTAATGTAGCTTTTAGGTCTATGGTGTTTTACAATGGCTGACATTCGTGTCCTTGCTCCAGTGGTTATGATAAAGGACTAGACACAAACGAGTACTGAAAGTAAATAAATAGGACTGTTAATAGGCAATAAAAACATGTTAGAAAAAGTCATGTTCCGTTTTATAGAACCGCAGTTCTGATATTGACAATAAGTAACTTGTAATGGAAGATAATCGCTGCCAAAATTACATCCTGCGTTCTTACATTGTAAATTGCAGCCTCTATATGTCTGCAAGTAAATTCGTTCATTAAACCATTAAAATGGTTACACCATGCTGCATTCTTACATTGGAAATTGTATTTTTTTTAATTTCATGGAAAAGTGTGCTTTCTTCTAACTCACTATATCACAGTTTTATTTACATGATGATTTCTTTTCACTCCTTATGAATAAATAATACTTTATGGTTAGTCTCTCTTTTCACAGCTGTTAACATAAATTCTTTGCTAATTTTGAAACAATTAATTGACTGTGGCCATTATGATGTGATAATGTGATAAGATTTTGTTATTAAATACCTATTTATTATGTTGTTCTTGTTTTAAAAAACAAGCCGTAAATGGTTACGTTGACTTCAAACCACTTGCCCCTCGCCGCTGTGGGCTCGAATCCCGACAGGGACTTTAGATTCTTTCATGTGAGGAAGCTATCCAGCTAGCTTATGGAACGTCGGTGCTTCTACTCAGGAGCCCGTTCGTGCCTGAAATAATGCACGGAAGGGCACCTAAGGTCTTTCTCCACCAGTAAAGCTGGAACGTGGCGATATGACCTATTATTTACTGTGTCGATGTGACGTTTTTAACCCAAAACAAAACCTCGAAATAACATTTTCTATATCGCAAATCGGCCCTTGGTTAAGAGGATGTACCGATTGTCGCGAAACCATAATATAGATTTGACCCTGGTGTAAATTAAAGTCAACAAGGGGACATAATTGTATACTAAATGTCACCTGTCTATAGTATTAAGTTATGTCCCTTTATGAATATTTTCTTTCAACTTACAAGTTAACAAGCGTTAGTTACGCGTAATTTCTGAAAATTTAGCCTTAGATAACATTTATACGAAATATGTCATCGATTTGGAGAGATATTTAATATATTTGAAATTGTTACCGTAGACTTACCATAAATATGTACTTTAAGCGCTTACATTTGGATAAATGTTGTTATTCTTACCAAGATGAATGTCCGATGAGTTACAATACAAAATAATTATTTAATTTTTTTTCTGTGCAAATCAAATATTTTGTAATTATTTTTTGGGCGAAAAAATACTGTATATTTTACAATTCCAAAATGTAGAAATAGACTATAGTTGAAAGTATATAGCGACCAGTACGAAACTTCGGTGCGTGAAAAACTTGATGGCTTTGTGCGATATTGACCAATCAGCGGGAGGGGTTGTTTACGTTTATGTTTCACTCTGTGATAGTACATTGAATATCGTTGATTTTTTAACGAGGAATTAGTAGTGAATTCGTGATAAAAATCGTGTGAAAATTTTATAGAATCACTAAATATAGGATACATTAATGAAATAAACCAAGATATTCAACATCAACAGCCGGGGAAGTCTAAAAATTACATCACATTCTTGTTGTTTTGAGAATGACATTTTATTATCGCGGTTCAAGGCTGTTCGAGATGTTTGTGTAACAATACAATAACATATGAAAATGAAACCCATGGATTTACAATTTACTTAGATAACATATGAAAATGTGAATAGTGATATGATTTTCATTGTTTTACGGAGTTGGTCATGTGATTAATTGATATTTAGGGATTTGTTTGTGACAGTCATGTACTCCGCGTTAGGATTATCATTCATTGATAAAAGCCGCCATTGAAATCCCAGACAAAATAATTTTCGTGTTTACAAGGCCGGCAATGGTCGGCTACGGGTCACTGCGACCCTGGGCTTTAGTGTTTCCTTTTCAGTAATATAATGAACATGTAGAAATTTTTAATATGCTGGGTGTGAATTTTATGAAAGCAATTTTAATTCTGGCATGGCCCTTGGTGACCCTCGCTCAACTGGACCCACGTGAAGGATTAAGAGATGCCAGTGTAACTGCTGGTAAGTATTAATGGTACATTTTAAAAGGTCACTTCTGTAAACTCATCAGTCTGAAGTTCTTTTTGTTTAAAACCAATGTAATAATAGATTGTTATTGTCACTGATTAAGTTAAAATTGAAAACAGAATTACGGTAGCAAGACACTTCACCCCCAGACACTTCACCCCTAAAGTCACCCCTCAAGACACTTCACCCCTCAAAATCAGTAAGACACTTCACATGTATTACACAATAATACTTCACAAGAATTACATGTAGTCCTCTGAAGAATAATCAGATGGCTTTAAAGGTTATAAAAAGTTTGTTTTAAAGTTTATCAGAAGGTGAGGTAAAAGGAACCAAATCCACATATCCTACAACTTTTCAAGAAAAATATGGAAGTGTTCAGAAATTATGAATGTGGAGACAGACTCTTGCAGACACTTCACATTCCCCCCCCCCCCCGCCCCCCTTCAAACCCCCCAAACAGAAGGGGGCACATCCCCCTTCTGGCAACCCCCTGATGTATCTTTTGGTTGGGGCCGCGCCGAAAAAGAGGTCACTTTTTTTAACAACATTTCTCAATTAAGGCATTTTTTCATCATTTGAGACAACATAAAAGGGGGGGGGGGGTGAAAAAGGCGTTAAAAGGCGTGTATATGAAGTAATGGGTAATAGGTGAAAATCTCTTCAAAACTTCAAAAGTCTTCACTTGTATTCTTGTATTCAAGTTTAAACCATCTGTAGACCAACTATTTCTTGATTTCTTTCATCAAACAAATAAGAACATTATTGAAGTAATGTATATATGGTCATTCATATCTTTTTTTTTACATTCAAGAACCATCCTCTCTTCAAACTGAAAGCATTTTTAGGACATTTTGTCAGTAATTTCATTAAGTAAAACATTTTTAGGACTATATGTACGCTTTTTGACTAGGTTGACTGGTGGACTATTGCATCATACATGTACCAACTCTTATTATATATTAGTCTTAAATCGTTGAAGTCATTTCATACACGTACCCAGTCCCTTAACAGAATAATTTAGTACTTTAGCATATCACCATGATTGTTGTTATCCAACATTTTTTTCAAGCAAATACATGTACACAGATAAATTATACATGTATATATTCATAATTAGAAAGTTCAGTCAGTTTCTTTTAATGCTTAGAATTAAAGCATTTTGTGATGATGAAGTATATCCCAACCTGTCTTTGAGGTTGAATCTTTGATTATCATTTGTCTTTATATTACTAATGCCCTCTGTGACTGAGGTGTTTCCTTTAAAGGGATACTCAGGCAAAATAATGGCAAAAATATAAAAATGATTTTCTGTACTCAAATCACCCTAAAATGACATTTCTTAAAGTCCCAACATGAATTTCTGTATAAATTCTATATATTTTGGGTTTGAAGTTTAAATATATCTATATATGTTGAACGAAATTTTGACACGAACAGAATCAGCAAATAGTTTAAAAACAAGTCATGCGATTTGAACAAACCCTGGAAGTTACAAGAACAAATATTGTGGATATTGTATGATTGAAACAAGTCTAAGTAATTGATTTGACATGTTTTTTAACATTTCCAGAGTACAGAGTGACAACTATTGTGAAATTTTAGCGCTCTAACCTGACCCACGCGGGTCAAGTTAGGAAAACACCATTTTATTCTTTATATGGAGAAAAGTTTTGTTCCTTTGACTGTTTAGTGTATTCATTTTGAGGACATTTACAGAATAATGAATGAAAATTTCAAAACTAAGAAATGAAAATTTTGCCTGTGTCTCCCTTTAAGGGTTGAGGCTTAAGAAATCAGAACTGCAGCCACCGTTATCCATGGCAACTAAATCTAATGGGTACAAATAACTGTCCCAGAGTCTATGCATCTCTTTACTCTAGCAGGTGAGGTGGTTTTGACCCAGGGCTGGCATTGCTTTGAAGTTTGTTACAGTAGCTAACTCTCAAGGTTAGCCAAAATCATTTTTCCTGTTTCAACACCATATGATCTGAACACACAAACATTATGAAACATGATTTATTACACTAATAGCGCCCAGTCTACTGTCAAGTCAGTGTTCAAAGAAGTTCTTTTGAAAAGACTATTTAAAATCCCCTATATTTTAGTCCAGACATTATGTTGTGTGTGTTGACTGGAATACATGTACATGTACTTCATACTAATTTAGTAAAAGTTATAATAAAATATTGTCAACAAAAGTTTGTGATGTTCATGTCCAATGTTCAATTGAGAACCAATTTGAAGCAATCTGGAATAAGGTTAAGTTTTTATTATTACCTTGCAGAATGAGTTGCATTTTGAGGTGATAATATTTTTTTTTAGATTAATTCAAACACCATTCTTTAATCATACTAGCAGTGCACTTTCATCAACATGAGACAAAATTTATTTGTCTGTTATTTTCCTAGGTCTGACAGAGAAACACGTAAAAAAAAAGTAACAGATTAAATAGAATCTGTAATTTCCAGTTGCATATTTTGCTTCTTTAATTTATCAAATGCGTCTGACTTTAACACTGTATGATCATATGATTATCTATTGATGCTAATAGTGTGGTGCATTCATTTTCTTTCCATTATTGTCTGCAATTCTGTCTGGATAAAACTAAGGTTTGTTTTGCTTTGCAACAACTTGAATAAATGAATCCTCCATTGTCAAGTGGTTACGGTAGCCCAACTTTTAATCCCTTGCTCCTCACCTATATGGCCTTATATGTTTGAGTTCCACCATGTGTCTGCTAGGGTGTAACAATACAGCAAAAACCGTATTGCAATATATTGCCATTTTGCTGAAGCGTATTGCAATATATTGCAATACGTATTGTCGTGTATATGTTTTGATGTAAAGATGGAGTAACATTTATATATTATTATTATTATATGTATATATTTTTAGTAGAAACTTAATAAAAATGTAAGGAATAAATAGAAAGTAGTGTCACACAATTTGATAAACAAAACTAGTCGCGTGTAACCTTTCACATCTGGGCCGCTTATGTAAATTATGCGGCCGCTTATTGACTTTTAAGTGTACTAGTTGTCGGATACTTTTATCTTACGTTGGCGCCAACAAAATTTGCCAATTAAAGATTTTATGTGAAATTTGTACAAAATTAGAAGGCAATTAATTGAAAATTATGATTTTTATAAAATACCGGTTTTCCAAAAATCGTACCGCGGTTCGAAATTCATTTTTTCATATTGCAATATATCGGTATACCGGTAAACCGTTACACCCTTAGTGTCTGCTAAGGTAGCAGAGCTCTCACTAGGATTTTTAAAGTAGGAGTCCTCATGAAACCAATGTGGAGTCCTAACTCTACCAACATAACTATACAAGCATTAAAGCCCAGCCTTAAAACATAACACATAAGCCGCTGTATAATTGCATATAAGAAGGACGCAATGACATGCGGATTTGGAATTTATATGCGTACTGATGATCAGATATTTAAAGTTGTCTTTTGCATAAGTATGCGTAAAAATACGCTCAAATAAGCGTTTCCGAAAGCCCTTGGTAGAAATAGCTTGCAAGCCCATAGCTAGGAGAATATGGATAAGCCTGTTACTAGACTAACATAATAACTATGTACATGTGTGCATATTGGGGGTTCTGAGGTCTTCTGTTTTACAAGGTTTCCATTAAGTTCCAAAATTTGGAAGGCATTGTCAGCTAAATCTGCTGTAATGGAAGTCACATTATATAGGTAAAGTAAGAAAAGCATTACTAATGATTAGTTACATTTTGGAAGTCAAAAGCCAGAATCAAGGAGTAAATCACTAAATGACTCCCAAACTTCCACGGAAGCCCTGGCCTTGAAGTCACCCAAAACATTGAAATAGAATTTCTGCATGATATAAAATTTATGAAATTCAGACATTTTGTGTTTGAGAAGAAATTTATGAAGTTTAGTTAGTTATATATGTATGTAAACAGTGATTGCATTTTCATATATATATGTAAACAGTGATTATATATATGTAAACAGTGATTGCATTTTCGCCCTATCGTTTAGGGCTTATATAAGCCCCCATTACACCATTAACCAATCCAAAAAAGCGTATTTTTTCCATTTTCAAATTAAAAGTTTCCAACAGTTGCCCAATAAATGACAGTTTGTGAAACTGATCAATCTTTAACTGTATTGAAGAACTGACAGGTTTTTCTGATCACACACATGTTAAAAACCATGAAATTCATGTGTAAGGAAGTTTTGCAACTTTTAGTTTTACATTTTTTCAAAATTTGTCAAAATGTACAGTAGAATTATTTTTTTCCAATTTTTGCCAAGGGCTTTTTCCAAAAAATTAGCTAGAATTGCACCGAAATGTCTTGTACATATCTTTGTCTAAAAACAGAAATTTAAGAACATTATCATTCTGTACATTGTTTTTGCTTAATGAAATTTATTTAATACTTTACAAATTATTCTGAATGTAAATTCTGTAAATTTGATATTGGTTGAAGGTTACCACTCAATTTCTATGATTTTTTCCCCAGTTAATACAAGTTCCTATAGTTATAATACAATTTCAGTCCACTGACGGTCACTGTTCATGTACTTTGTAAACTTTCTATTATCTTATATTTCACAAAGGAAAACTGTATTAAAAGTTACATAATATTAATCTCGTTCATGTTTAATAGAATAAGATGATGACTGCATTCCTTTCATATGATGAATTTAATTGCTTATAGGATTAAATTGATTTCATAATAGACAGGAAATCATTTCATTTAAGTGCTCATATAAAATTTGTCATAAATCAGTAAATAAATTTAGATTAATTTCAGTAAAATTACACTGTCCAGCACTGCAAATGCAAAGGTCATAGTGGCAACTTCCCAAATGGTTCAGGAAGAGTCTTAATGTGCTATGAATGATATGCTGACACAAAAACAGCCCCTGCCATAGAAGGGGAAAAAAGCCTTGTAATTTCAAACAAGTTTCATTCTCTTTGTGCTTCCTTAAGAAAACTGAATACAAAAAATAATGAAAAAGGTTAGGTACACCAAGAAGTTCCTTTTAGTAGTGATTTATCCTGAACTCGGCAAATGTGGGTTTTTACAAACTAAACCCCCAAGTACAAACAAACTTTTACTGTTATAGCTTCATGGTGCACTATCTGTATATAAACTGTAACTGTCTTTGTTTGTACCCCAAGATAGCTGGGAAAACTGAAAATATTCTTAATTCTGAAGTAAGTCTATTTTTTTGTGGCCTGATCAAGAACTTACAGTTATGAAGTCAGAATTTCCCACTCCTGATTCTCTTCCAGCCATCATATCAGTGCTGACCACTCATTTTTGGTAGGCGATAAATCTGTGTTATTTATAAATGAATAATCCTGCAAAGTACAAAATCGTCCTCCATCAGTACTTATTATCATCATTTTCATGTAAGATTGAAATCAATAAATCCTCCCTTAACAATAACAATGAACTGTTCCCAACATCAATGCAGGAAGGACCAGTCCATTTCACAAATTCTGCAGGGTATCCAAGAATAACCCATTCCCCCCTCCCCTCCTAATTCATGATTATCTCATTTGCTACTTATGCAGGCAATATCCATTGCAATGTATGTACAATGTTCCACATTAACATTCTGGTATTGTTGTAGTACTTTAGGTTATTCTTGTATTTACCTGTTGCATATTGACAGGTAAAAACACAGTATAACACACACATATGTGTATATCTTTCATTTTCTAACCTTGATAAAGAAATTTCTATGCATAAAAACCTTGTGCAGCAGATTTTCATTGACATAAAAAGCGCAACAACATTTTTGCATATAAAAGTGTAAAATTTTAATTTTAAACTTTCGTGTACTATATCACAAGGCAGGGATATGTTTCAATGTATAGCGATGGTATTCCAGCTATGCTGCGTTTATGAAAAATACACCAAAATGTTTTTTCACGCCTTGTTAAGCATCATTTAATCATTGTATTAGTTAAGAATACTATTTTGTTTTGTATTCACGCTGGTATCTCGTACAATCAGGGGTTCTACTAACTGGTATGAATAATGAAATACAGGGTTTCTTAGTTTTGTATAGGTTTATTTTGTGTAGTTTTTATCAGGCCGATCTCCAATTCCTGCCTTTGTTTAATTTACTGCGTCAAAATGTTCCACAATATTATTAACATAAACAGCACCCTGACATTCTGCTTTAATTATAATAATATACATAACATAATTATGTACTTTAGAAAAGTCAAAATACTGATTTTCAGTTACCACTGTGAGTGTCTATTGTAGGAGGGGAGATAGGGTGATTCACTCATATTTTTTGAGGATTTCCCCCTATTTTTGCAGGAGCAGGGGGACATTTTTTCATAGAAAAAGAAAGAAAAAGATCAACAAATGTAATAAATTCTCACTTGTTGATAAAAATCCCCAGTTTTTCGAATCCTACTAAGGATAGACACTGTACCTGGTGTAATTTTCTTTCACTGGTGTATTTTTTTTCCCCTGAAAACTGAAATACATTTTACTATCATTCAAATAAAATTTGTAAAATATTTTTAAGTTAAGCCAAAGAAAAAAATAAAAATAGAATTTATTATGTAATTCTATTAGTTACAAACTCAGACAGGCAAATAATTTGGTAGGAAGTAATCTAGTTTAATCTTTCAGTTTCAAAGTTATTATAATTTTCTCTGTGTCTTAATGATTAATATATATACACATAACAGTTAAAAAAAATCTTAATTTGAATCTGTAGAAACCAATAGATCGACCTGTCCCCCCCCCCCCCACACACACACACTGTAACAGCTTCATTATGCCTCTTTTCTGAAGACAATTTAGTACATGTATATTTCATGCCAGAATGTTTACTTTAAAGGCCCATTGAACCCCATACAAAATTTTATTTTTATTTCTAAACCATCACTTTATTTTAAGCATCCAAAATGTAACATCAGTCATTACACATTGGCCATAATTACAAGGTATACATTGTAGCTAAAACTATATTTTTTGATTTTAGTAAATTTGGCCATTAGTAAAGTTATCAATTTCAAATCAGAGGAAAAAACGTATTGAATTCTGAGGCTTATTGGGCCTTTAAGGAAGGTTTCATTTTCATGCCTAATGCAGTCTTATTTTCTGAGCCCTTTAAACCTTAAGCAACCAGTCACGAGCTAAAGAACCAACATAAAATGACCAGCCGTAATATTTATGCAAGGAGCAACAAGAGTTACAGAAATTTATAAATATCTACCATCATGTATAAGATATAAATGATGTTTATACAAAATAATGAAATGATAATGGCCGACTGCTATTTTTGTGACGGTGACCTGTTACAAGGCTATTTTTGTATAAGTTTCAAGTTTTATTATTTGTCATATTCAAGGCCGCCGGCCCAAATACGCAATACAATAGCAAAAATGTGCAGCCACTTGTGTTATAATTTCCTAAAATAATATATATTACAAATAATAAAGAGAAAAAGAAATACAATAGCAAAATAGTGTTCATTTTACAACAGGTTGTGCAATCATTTTATATAGAACATGTACATGTTATACAATGCATGTATATGTACAATATTATAATATACGATGTACACATGTACATGTATTAATGCATGTGCAAAGACAAAAGATAGTTTACTGTTAATGTTTATATTTCAAGTAAATCTGTTCCACTACATTTAATCAAATCATCATCAAATTATACATATAATTGATACAGTGCTTAACTTTTTATTAAAATAAAGTGTGAAATCTAAATTAAAAGGCACATTATGCCCCAGAAATGAATATTTTTTAACTTATTTAGAAAGGGCAAACATGATCTTAATAACATTAAAATAATGGTTTTAGAGCATGTTAGAATGATGCTTATAACATGAAAAAAACAGAAGAACATAAAAAATAGACAGACTGGAACCCAGGCTACATTGTAACAATGAATGTGAAATAATGTGTCATAAAAGTAGCAAAATGTAAACAAAGTAGTATTATGACTTCCATACAAAATATTACTAAATAACTATAACAGTACTTTTTGCCAAACAGCAACAGAGCAAAAAATGGTTCAGGTAATTGGCCTGTGAGTAAATCTTTGGATACTATAAAAGTACACTGAAAATAAAAGCTTTGAAAAATAAAAATTAAAAGCATTACCTAGGCATAATGGGCCTTTAAAACTTAATATCATGTTTAAGGCGAGAGAATCTGGAAACAAATCTTTATAAAGCTATATATTTCAGTATGGTTTGTTGCCAGCAGATTTAATTTCAATCCTTTATTGTGGCAGCTGTTTTTAAATAATTAAAAAAAGAAAAGGAAAACAACTCCATATATATTGTGTGTAGTTTGAAGATTTGAAATTTATAATTTGGATTTTGAACTTGACTATTCAAAGAATAGGAAGAGGAATTGTTGTATTCACCCAGGTGTCGGTGTTGGCATTGGACTTGGGTTAAGTTTTTGCAATGCAACTGCAAGTTCGTATCTCCAAAACTACTGAATGGAATGGTTTGAAACTTCACAGATTTATTTGATAGCATAATAGGAGGTCACTGTCCAAGGCCCATAACTCTAACATAGAATAATGGCCCTTTTTTCACATACAAATCAAATTCACTGAAAACAAAGCTGTGTTTGACATTATACGCACCTGATCACATAGCAATTTTTATCTCCCCTGGCCCCAATTTTTAGCCTTATTCCCAAGATATTTTATACTTAAGATTTAAAATCTCAAAACTATTTTTCTATCATCTTTATGAAAAGTGATATATAAATATCTTTTACATATTGATGCTGTAATAATATTTTGCTTGATATTTATAAAACAATTTGACAATTCACCAAAATCAGTTATTTTTATTGCAGTTTTCATAATATGGTCAGTTAATATTATATAGGATATTGACCCATAAAGTTGCTGCCAAATGCAGTTTTTATATTTTGTCAATTATATAATTATATAGAGTATTGACCCCTAAAATGGCTGCCAAATTTGGCAAGGGAGGTAAATATTATAAAATCGGAAACTATCTATGGTTATACAACTTACAAGTCAAGAATTTGCTCCTTTTATTAATTATTAATAAGTTTGTAGCATGACCAAGACTAGTGCTGCCTTGTTCTTGGTCATAATGAAATATTACCGGTAATGAGATATATATATATATATATTGTTAAATAATTGTATCTGCTGCAGTTTTACGTCAGCTGATGTTATGTCATAAGATATAAATTCTTCGGCCTTTGCATTATCATTGCTGATTTGTAAGTAGTGTCCAAAATTCAGAGTTTTTGTTCATAGTACTGTACAGCGTGGTCATATAGATTTTCCGCAGACAATTTGTTTTGAATTTGAGACGGTAATATTTGGTTTTATCACATACAACAAAGAGTGTTTCTAAGTTTTGAGGCGGCTCAAAGTGCATTTGAAATGGTCATTTTGGCTTCAAGTCACCACTGAATAACAACATTATATTTTTTACTCACCATGGTATTAAATCATCACATAAATATGATTGGATGAGTAGAATTTTCAATCTCTGATATTCCGCCTAAATTATTCGCTAATAATGCTTTAAATACATGTTTATTTAATTTTTGTATACACTTATTTTTCTAGTGCGGTTGACCAATTCTAGCCATAACAACTATGGCATTCTTGAGATCTACTTTGAACGAACATGGACGGCAGTGTGCGATGATAGTTTTACCAATATTGACGCTATGGTTGCATGTCGCCAGCTGAACTTTAACGATGGCCGGCTCCAAAAAGGTAAATTTGATGTTTATTAAAATATGTGTATAATGTAATAACCATTGAAACAGATAGCTTTTATTAAAAAAAAGTTGAGGAAGACTTGGTTATAAATTGTTAGGCCTAGAAGGTTATATTATAATTGGTACATACTGGTATATATAGCAAGTCTGTATCAAAATAGAGGAAAAGTGAATTTCCTTGTGTTGTTACTTTTTTTTGTAGAACATCATTCTAGTATGGTTGTCACATATGAGTGCACACATGTACCTAAGTCACTTAGAATAACAACTGTGTCAGGAAAGTGATTCTTTATCTTGCTGGTCCAGAGGGCAGTGTTGTGTTTGTAAGGGGGTGGTCACAAATTTTGGAATTAGACACGAGTGTGATTTTTTCGATGTGCAAGCATATTTGTGTTATGAAATATATTAAAAGTAATGTTTGTCAATAACAAATTGCAACAGTGTGTTGCATCTAAAATTAAAACATAATGTATCAGCTGTCTCCACAATAAATGAGCCGCGTCACGACAAAACCAACATAATGCGATTGCGACCAGCATGGATTCAGACCAGCCTGTGCGTCCACGCAGTCTGATCATGATCCATGCTGTTAGCTTACAAACTTTATTATAAATAGAGAAACTGATAGCGAACAGCATGGATCCTTATCAGACTGCGCAGACACTCAAATATCAAGGAATATTATTCATATTAATGAAAACTGGTAAGGTCTGCCACTTTTTTGTCCAGTAATCAGTCTACCAGAGCCAAATCTTATGAGAATTTTGACTGTTGAAAATAGGAGGAAAAAACCTTTATGTTTTTTTACTGATGATTCTTGTTAAGTGGACTGGAAATCTGGAATTGTCGGGGTGTGTGGGGGGTATGTTTTCATTGTATATTAAAATTTTAATTTTGTTACTTTTCTAGGTTCAGCTCTCGGCATTAATCAAGCACCAATTAAAGCCGTGAAGTTTCAGTGTAAGGGTACTGAATCAAGCCTTAATAAATGCAAAACGACGGTTAGCAGCACCTGCCTGTCCAATAACTATGTCACCTTATACTGCAGTCGGACATTAATCATAGAAAAAGGTAAAAATTTCATGTTCAGAGACTTAGTCTTTTCGATTCATAATAAAGCTGTTGACCCCTATTAAAGCTCAACAGGAAGAGTATCTTATTAATAATCAAGGGGTCTCTGGTGAGGCGAAATTTCTTCGGGACATTACATAAATATATATCATTTATGCATGTATTGTATTGTTGGATAGTGTAACCTTATTAAGAAATCCGGAATGCTGGATATACCTTATGCCTTTAACTGTGTTGAAGTGAGATAACCAAAAAAACAATTCTAAAAAAACTGATTAAAGCCTGATTTTCCAAGGATGCAGTTGTAGTATTTAGTCTTGAATTGCTTGAACACCTTATTTTACAAGGAAATGATTTTAGTATGTAGTCTGAAATAGTAGGAACAAAACTGACATTTCTATTTTGAATATTCATTTTGGTTTTATGTAATTTATATTGCATAAATGTTACTAATCCACTATCTTATCTTTGCTAGATTTTCCGGAAATCCGAATCAAAGATGGTCAAAGTTCGGGCCTTTTAGAAGCTAATCAATACGGGTTCTGGGGACCGATATGTGACACTGGCTGGACCGATATGGAAGCTCATGCTGCGTGCCAACAACTTGGTAAAGCTGGTGGTTACGCTTATTACGCCACAACAGACTCTGACTATCCTATGGTGGTTGGAAGATTCAACTGTTCTGATGATGTGGACGCTCTTAATGAATGCGATTTCAAAGGATTCGGTGAATCCCTTGGCTGTCAATACCCAATAACTAGAGGGTCCAGACGAGCAGCTGGCGTCTTTTGCTATGATCATCAAGGTATGTTAATTTGCTTTTATGACTGGGAAATTTTGGGATGGGGGAAACCCGTAGATTTGTGCCGGAAAAGTTATGGACACTGACTTGGTTACCAATGGTATCATTTGATTGCCATGGCGATTGGATAAACAAATCATACCAGGAACTTTAAATTCTTCTAAGCTATGGTGATATCCAGCTGGTATTCAGAGGGTCTTTTATTTAAACGAAATGCTTTATCTCTTTCCGAGTTAAAACTGTTGGTTTTTTAAAAAAATGTTAGGGCTCACTGTTAACAAGCATTAAAAATTGATTCTAAGTACCTTTTTTGTTGAGTTTCTCAGAAAGATACAAATTCATCATTTGACCTCTTAATATTGTTTTAATGGTGTAATGTCAAACAAAGTAACAAGATCGCTATGTTCCTACTTTCAGATGGCGTACAATTTCGTCTCTCTGATCGCTGGTATGGTAAAGTACAGGTAAAACACAACGGGGAATGGGGCCGCATCTGCAACGCTAACTGGGGTAACAAGGAAGCCAGTACACTATGTAGACAGCTCGGCTATGTTGACGGACGGGCAGAAAACACTCCGAGTAAAAGTAGCGGAATGATACGCATGGATAATGTAAATTGCAGCGGAACCGAGAGTTCTATATTAGAATGCAATCATCGCTCTAGCTGGACAGATTCTTTAGAACCTTGTAACGATGCGAGAGCAATCTGCAATACAACAAGTACGTACATATTTGTTCGTTTTGTTCCATTTATTCCTGATAAATGCCATTTTTCAAGTTTCTTTTGGCCACATATCTTACATTTGGAATCATTTTGTGTTTCAGTCTTAAATTAAAAAATGCAATATATAAACTGTTGACATTTGTTGAAATGTAAATAAGAAATTTTTAGGGAAATGGTAAAAGGTGTTGAGTGGGTTGTGGTAACTTTGAAAAGTCAGGATGTATGTGTTTGTGTGTAGTCTGTGGATTTAGCTATTTGGCTAGTAGAATTTTGGTCATCCAGTTAAATTTTTCATTTCACTAGCTGATTGGTCTGTCAAAAACTAACAACGGATCACTATATTTTCTGCTAATGAAGTGACTTAATTTCAAATGGAGTAACTTATATTCTCGAAATAGAATTACAAAATGTATGTTACTGACTTAATTATTTTTCAAGACCTTTTTTGCTACTTTGCCAGTTGAACATTTTTGGGCTAGTAGAAATTGCCATCTACTTCCTATATGGCTTGTGGTTTTCTGATCATAAATTTTTTTATTGGATTCTTGTTCTATTTCTTTAATTCTTTTTGTAGCGTTATTTGATTTAAAATGCCTAGAGGTTGTGCTAAGGATGAGCATTGGAGAATTGCCCCTCACCATTATGGGTTTGAGTCCCGCCAGGTGGATTCTTTCTTGTGAGAATGCTGTCCACCTCTTTTATGAAATGTTGCCTGAAATAATATGGAGGAGCACCTGACGTCTTCCTCCACCAGTAAAGCTGGAATGTTGCCTTAATATTATGACCTTTACTGGCGCTGTGTGAGTGCAACATAAAAATAAATGTGATGGTGTGATGTGAAAAAACAATATTGATATTTTGGCATTTTTTAATCTTTACTGAAAGATAAGACTTACAAGAATTTGTGTTTTTAAGAAATATATTTTAGCTTTAAACACATGATCAATGTCTGGCAGACATTTTTTAACCACTATTCTGCCTCTTTCTGGGTGATAGGCAGACGATTTCAACCACTTTAGAGCAGCAAAGCCTCTTTCTTATAAAATGGTATTTATACCATCACTTGTGATACTGAAAATTGAAACGGTTGACAAAAAATGATGTTTTTATAAATATTTCATGTGATTTGTGTTAATTATGACAAAAAGCCTTGCTTGGTCTTTAAAATCGGATTCCTAAGGGGTTATTTTTTGTATGATTTGTTAATGTTGCAAGAAATGTTTTGGATGTCAAGTTGAACCTATCTGAAGACACAAGTTGATTAATTTGTCATCGTACGATATAGGTTTAAGAAGCTACGATATAGGTTTAAGAAGCTACAATATAGGTTTAAGAAGCTACGATATAGGTTTAAGAAGCTATTTGTGATTTGTTTGGTGGTTACCGAAGAAGTCTCCGATATCATTTTGTTTAGCAATTATTTAAACATTTTAAAAGTCATGAACACAAGAGATCGGGTTTCTTCTATATAAATGTGTTTCAGTAAAGAAGTGAATAAATAGGACCAATTTTTAAAGTTACTGTCGCCTCCCCTGTGTCTAGATCTTGATCAATATCGAGTGCATTTTTGCTGCACTGATATTTGTTCTCTAGTTCAACTTGTGTTGCTAGGTTACTCTTGTAACTGGCTGTGTTTGACCTCAGCGAATGGTCATTTAGGGTCATTTAAGGGTAGTGACCAGACGGAAACAGGTTGCTTGGTTCAAATTACAAGGGCTAGCCCAATAAAAGGAAGAATTACAATAATACACACTGTAAAAATAATTTCACCTTGTGTTTACTGGTTTTTCATTGCAAATCGCCCCTGTGTTTTAATAATGTGTGGTAAACAGCATCAAAATTTGGTTACTGGAATGGGTTTAATTATTTCTATTGTAGTTTGAATGGAAACTTAAAATATGACAATAATTATTTAACGTCCAACAATGAGTTTAATCATGCTCTTGACCTATGCTTGGTTCAATTCTGCAAACTTAGGGCTTCTGGTTTAAAGTGAATTGCTTGGTTCAAACTTACTTTCTTAGAGGTTCTGGTTTAAAGTCTGAACCTTCAGCATGAGCAATGAATGCTTAGTTAAAATTTTCGTATATATAAGATCAAGCATAGCCCTCCAGGGTATGCATGGTTAAAGCGTGTACCCTTTAGGAATGGCATGCCGAGTTCAAGCCGAGGACCGATGTGGGTTCTTGTAATGAACTTGTATCAAGTCCGAATCCTTTTAAATGCAGGATCACAAAGGGTCCTGAGATCCAGTGATGGACAGCAATCTGGAAATATAGGGGCCTGGATTAAACTTAAAGCATTAAATCTGCTTGCTTCTCAACCCGGGGATCATGGGTTCGAGCCTTAATTGGGTCACAACCATATGTTTCTTCATATGAAACCAGTACTGGTTGGTTCCTGGAAGCGGATTAAAACGTGATTAATATAAGTTGCAAAAACTTGCTTGGCAATCAAGCTTAAATTAAATATGTTTAAACCATAGATCATATTTATTATAAGGAAATCTGACAGGTGTTGTTCAGTACAAGATACTAATTAAAATGGTATTCAAGTTAGATGAAACCATATTTACAATTTTTTAGGTAAAAAAAAAAGAAGAAAATAACCATAGGAGTGTTAAGCAATTTCATGTAAACTTTGTTTTCTTTTTTTTTTCCATTGGCAGATGTGACCATGACTTTTTATGGCAAGAGTTCAAGAAAAAAAAATGTTTAAGAATTAATGTATAGCTCTGTTTATTGTCACAGTTGTCTTTTGCACTATCTCAGGTTTAATCTGGAGTATTTTGGTTTTAGCTGAAATTAAGATTAAAATTGGATGATAACTGTTTCCAAGAATTGAGAATAGCAATAATATTATGTCCGATCACTTAAAATGAAGGAAATGAATAATTGAAATTAGAAGTGTTTACATGTTTTTGATGAACTTGAAATTTCTTGCTGCAGTTAAAGTTGCACCACGCCCAGATTTATGTGAATTTTTTTTTGAAAACTTAAAAATTGAGCAAAAAGTTTTGTCAAGTGTATAAATAAAGCAATTAGGCAAAATTTTCTAAGGCATACTCAAATTTTGTGGGGTTTTTCCAAAGCTTATATCCCCCCCCCCCCCACACACACACAGGTACAAACAAACTTCCAAAGCTAATAAACCCCCCCCCCCCCCCACCAGGTACAACACAACTTACATAATTATGTACTGTTCACAATAGATATGACAACCTTTTGTATTCATTTTTGAAGCTGAAACCATAAAGAAAACAAACTTGTACAGTTGCAAACTTTGAAAATATGTGAAACAGATCTACTGGCAGCCTGAAGCTGTTACATAATTATGAGGAAATAACCTTTTTTGATGTATGGGGAATTAGCTTTTTTGCAGTAAAAGTTTTATGTATGGGGAAATAAGCTTTTTTACAGTAAAAGTTTGATGTATGGGGAATTAGCTTGGAAAACCCCACATTTGGATAACAACTATTACCTATGTCAAGTATGCAGAAAACTTTCTTTATAAGAACAATTCTGAGGATTAGTAGATTTAGCTGAGGGCTTGGGTGCTGGTTTTTCACCCATGGGCATATTGTTGCATTATGGGATGCATTATAGGTCATGTAAAGGTCTTCTTACACCTTTCTATCCTGGAAAATTGCCAAGTGACAGTAACAGTGTTGTAGTAATATCATTTCTTTATGGCATTGAAGATATTGAAAATTGGAATTGAATTTTGTTTTGGTGTTACATCTATTTTTAAGAAAAATGAAAATATTCGTGCACATTTTTAATATTTTTAGAAACAGTTATTAAAAAACAACAACAAAAAACAACCTGAAACAAGAACTGTTGAGAATAATTCGTCCTTCAAAGACAGGTTATTTTATTGTCACGTTGATATTATGCGTTGTTGTTCAGTGAATGAGATAACACTTTAGATCTGGGAAGTAAATTTTTACATGATGATCATATTTTATATGTGGGATGACAAAGCTTTCCGTTGTTAAATAATTTTTCCTCATCACTAATGTCCTTGATTGATAGTGTTTAAGTGTTCTGTTTATTTCATGCGACAGTCATTAATGAGAAAATCGGTCAAGGTTTGAATTCCGAGTTTTCTGAAATCATTAATTTACGAAAATACGCAATATTTTTATAACGCACTTTGTCCAGGTAGAGTTTTACCTTAAAACATAGAAATTTTCATGATAGGGGACAGCTAAGCTCAATAGGGAGAGCATTAGATTTATAATATAGGGGTTGCCGGTTTGATCCTTTAGAATGGGATAAGGCAAAATTTCTATGTGACAATTGACCATTGATCTTAGACATTGAGTATAGTGGCCATTTTGCTCGAGAAAATTGTAATCAGTGGTGAGTCAATAAGGAAAAGATAATTACATAGGCCGTCTGGTACGTGAGAGATACATGTATGACTAAAAATATGTTGAAATCAACAATGTAACACCTTGGACAAACAAAGATACAAGTAAACATGGCTTTTTTAGCTCGACTTTTCTATGAAAAGGGGAGCTATCCTACTCGCCCCGGCGTCGGCGTCGGCGTTAGCGTTGGCGTCACACCTTGGTTAAGTTTTTCGTACCACCCCACTTTATTTCAGAAGTATTACAAGTATGGCTTTGAAACTTACCATACTTGTTCACCATCATAACCTCCATCTACAGACAAGAGTACATAACTCTGTCAAGGTTTTTGACAGAATTATGGCCCTTTTTTGACTTAGAAAGTGTATTGAGCTTGGTTAAGTTTTTTGTACCACCTCACTTTATTTCAAAACCATTGGAGGTATTGCTTTGAAACTGACCATACTTGTTTACCATCACGACCTTCATCAACAGACAAGAGGACATAACTCTGTCAAGGTTTTTGACAGAATTATGCCCCTTTTTGACTTAGAAAATACATTGAATATGGGTAAAATCCACTTATTGCCTTAACCTTTGAGATATTGCTTTGAAACTTTTAATGCTATTTCACATCATTAC